TCTTTCTTTCTTTCTTTCTTTCTTTCTTTCTTTCTTTCTTTCTTTCTCATTTGCTACAATAACTTCCATGAAGCTGTCTATTTACCTTCATTTCTTATATAATTTAGAATTCCTGGATTAGGATTAAAAAAGTATGCATTTGTTGATAGCAAAAAGTTATACAGAAATAGCACTATTTCATATATGAAAAAAGACAAAAAAAATGATTTCTTTCACTTTTTGCAAGGCTTGTTTTTTATGGCCTGTTATGGCTTGAATCTCTTATTCAAGAGATTGAACTGTGATTATTACTTAAATTGTAACATAGAAATGCAAAATGCATGTGTTTATGGGGCAGATACTTCCTTTAAACAGCTTATTATGATACCTTCTGTTGTATATCTCTAACTTCTGTTGTTAGCGAGATTATTCTAAAAATATTAACAGAACTGTATTTCCAAATTCAGAGAATTTTGAACTAAGCAACTAAGAAGTAACTAAGAAAGAAGCATGTATTGTTTTGACATCTGATTTCCTAAATGTTATTACGTTTTATTTTCCAATCAGTTTTTCATTGTTCTCTTTATGTCCTTTGCTTACATGTGAATTGTATTTGATTTCTTCACCATGACAAAACTGATTATTTCTTTAAAGATATTAATGTCTTCTCTGATTTTAGTCTCATCTCTTTTTCCCTTCTCTAGTTCCTTTATCCCTGTCTCGTACCTTTGTTGTCAGCAGAACAGACATACTAGCCCCAGGCAGTCCAGGTAAATATGCTTGCTTCTTCTGTACCTCTGTTATAAATTGCACTTACCTTGTAATTAATTAGCAACAGTTTTATATACTGCCTATCATCTTTTTAGAGAAGAAAGGGTTTGGGTCTAAACAGGTGGGTGCCTTGAGTTTTATTTTTGATAAGATAATAACAAATAGATATTGAAACAAAAAGGAATTGTGACTTGACATTTGTTGGGTCACAGTAACTTCTGCCTTGGAAGTTACCATTTTCCATATCTTTACAAATACTGCCAACAACTAAACATATTTTTGAAAGGTAAGCAAAATATACAAGTTGTTCTATTGCAGGAGTGTCAAACTCATTGAGGGCTGCAATAGGTTTGACCTTGGGGGGCCAGGGGTGGGGGTAACCAGGGTGGGAGTGGCCAGCTCAATGTCACTTGTGTCAGGGGCACCTGTGGTGGCCCGAGCACTCTGCTAGCAAAAACGGGCTCCCAAGCTTCGTTTTCAGCTGCAGTGGCCTCCTGCAACCTCCTGCCAGCGAAAACTGAGCTCGCTGCCTCACGCTGGCAGAGGAACTGTGGGCTGGTCCTTTGTTGTTTCTAGGGTGGCCCTGCGGGCCAGATCTAAACACCCCAAGGGCTGAATCAGGCCTGCAGGCCTTGAGTTTGACACCCCTGTTCTATTGCTATGGATTGTGTAAACTCCTGTGTGTGAGAATATAATGAGTAAATTCTTCTAAATGCTCTAGGAAGACTAGGAACATTGATTCCACACAGTTTTGTACTCAGTGGTGTTTTCAATGTGGAGTGAAGCAACAAAAATGGGAGGAGTCCTTTAAAATGGTCCATATGTTGTCTCCTTTAGGTAATTTCATTCAGAAGATGTCATGGATGAACTGCTATATTCCTTGAACCATATTGCACTCTGTCACAGTCTCTAATTTGCTATACCTGATGAGGATCATAGCAGTCACATTTGCAAGCATTGCCAAAATTAATGAACTGAAAATTCAGTAAATTTAATCCTTTTGCTGCTATGTGTACTGTTTATAGGAAGGGCCATAGCTCAGTGGTAGAGCTCATGTGGGAGAATGTAGTTCAGTCCAATTCAGGTGGGGCTAGAAAATTTCCTGCCTGAAATCCTAAAATACCAAAATAGTGACAAGGCCGAGCTAGGTCAATCAATAGCATCAGTCAATGTAAACAATATTCTATATATTAGTCTGGATGGGCAAACCTCTTTCATTGCCCATGTCATTAATTCTAATATATTGTTTCCACTCTATTTTTCTCTGTGAAGATTTCTTTGTTTCTTAAATTGCTTTTAGCCATTTCCTTGCCTTCTTCCTGTTTCAGCCATGAAGCCCTTAGCCTTCTGGTTTAGAATCATAAAATCATACACCTTGGAAATTTTCTAATCCATTCCCCAGGCGGCCTTATATTATTCCAGAAAAATGATTGCCCAATCTTTTCTTGAAAGGAGATACAGCAGCTACAACCATGGGAGGCAAGCTCTCCATTAATTAATTGTTCTCACTGTCAGGAAATTTCTTCTTAGTTTCAGATTACATCGCTTTTTAACAAGCTTTCACTCACTAAGTCTTCTTTAGAGAATAAAGTCGACTCCCTCTCCTCTGTGACAGCCCCTCAAGTACCAGAAGATAGCTATCATGCCATTCCCTAATCCTTTTCTTTGTTAGGCTAGACATACCTAGATCTCTTAACCATTCATCATACGATGTAGCCTCCAGACTCTTAATCATCTTTGTTGCTCTTCTCTGGTTTTCCAGCTCTTGGTCTCTGGCTTCTCTGTATTATTATAATCAAAGTAGACTTTTGGCACTTAATTGTAGGAATGAACAACCTTTTCTACAATTTAATTCTTGTTTGGAAATTGGTTTAATGATTGATTTTCTGTGACCTGATGTATTAGGGGAGAAATTATCTAGGAGCCTTGATACAAATACTAAACTTTCTCCCAATTAACACCTCATTTTTAACTACTCCTATTGCTGTGTCATAAACATACTTTTTGTGAACTATGAGTTAGAATTTGTCAGAATTCTTGGTTAGTAGTAAGTAGGAAAAGAGCTGTAGTTTGGTCTGTCTTTTTCCTGATGCCAAGTCTCCTGTACTATATTATCTGTGAGAATTTATAAAAACTGTCTTAAACAGCTATAATGTTTGCAGCCATCTTAGTCTTTTCATTATTTAACAAAACAATAAGCATAAAATATAAGATAGATTTTTTTTTTCTTTTCTTTCTTAGCTTGCAGCCATTTAAGTCTTTTCATTATTTTCTAACAAACCAAATATGATCAGCACTAGTAAGACACGCTAAAACAGTAGTTTGTTCACAAAATTGATGTGATAATTTTGTGTAAGGGTTCTATCTAACCAGATGGCCTCAGCAAATTTGTTTTTGGGTTTTGTTAAGATAGATCCTACAGCAACACACCTTTAATGTGCAGGAATTTTTTGGATTTGTTTTGTTATTGAATTTAATAATACTTGGGGTCGCGAAGCTGTTCCATGGTATGTCAGTGACGGAGAGAGCAGTTTTGGTAAGGTTCAGTTGTGGAAGGTCGCTATGCAGATCTGTCAAGAGAGGTGAGCCAGGGGGATTGGCAACTGCTGTAGGTGATGGAAAAAGTAAGTGCCCCTAGGTAGGTGGTAGCAGCAGGAAATAAAATAATTAGTGCATATAAGGAACCACAGAGATGACTTTGAAGAAAGTATGCACTGGAAATTACAAAAACATGATTTAAACCGAGGATTAAAAAAAAGCATCAGTTGAATCTGCCTTAATTATCTTGTGTATAAGATGGAGGGATTGTACGGTATTTGAAATAGGATTGTATCTATATTAAACACCAATTTTATCTATCATCAATTGCAGTTCTTTTGCAGCCTATTGTTATTTTTGCAGTGATATGCTGAGGTGAACTTCCTCTAATATGCAGAAAAACATTTGAAATGACCACAATTAAATTCCATTCCGCTACTGATGTTCAAATAACTAACATAACTAAATATTGCAAAAAGATTCTGAAACTTTGCCAAGTTTCAGTAATTATGTGCTATACGTCCTTGGTTTTTTTTCCTTCTTACAAATTGAATTTGAAATAGCAAATATAACATAGGGATTGACTTTTGTTGATACAGATTGTTCCAGCCCAAGTATCCTCGTTGGCCTGAACTCTGAGATCCCTGCCACCTTGCACATGGCCATGGCCACTGAGTTTGCTTTCTTCATCCTGCTGATGAAATGTGCCCAGCTGCTGGCTGTGCCAGGCCTTACTTCTGAGACCACTTGCACCATTTTTCCAGTACTGTGCAACCTTGCCCAATTTGTGTATGGCCTTCTTGCCAGGGTTTGGACGGCTTCAAAGCCTTGTGAAAAGGCTGCCGATGATTTGGACAAGAAAGGCTTTGTGGCAGGGCCACAAAATGGCATAGACCAGGGTTCTCCAACCTTGGCAACTTTAAGACTTGTGGACTTCAACTCCCAGAGTTTCTCAGCCAGCAACGCTGAGTTGAAGTCCACAAGTCTTAAAGTTGCCAAGGTTGGAGAGCCCTGGCGTAGATGGCGGAAAACATGGGTGGGGGATTTGAAGGGTCGTTTTGGTCGTAAGTGTGAAAGGGCTGCCACGCACCCAATTTTGATCACATGGCCATGGGGATACTGCTATTGGAAACTTTGGAGGTCAGTCATAAGTCCATTTTTTCAGTACCATCATGATTTCAATTGGTCTCTAAGCGAATGCTCATAATATGAGGACTACCTATATGAGTTTTGCCTGATGCATTATTAATTAACACCCAGAGTATAATCACATAGTTGAAGACTGAGAAACAGTTTCTCCTAGAGCAGTGGTGGCTAACCTTTTTGGGCTCCTGTGCCAAAAATTGTGTGCACGCTTGCACGCTCGCACTCTCGTGCCAGCACCCAGAAGGCAATGCGTGCACCCCCACACATCCTACACATGTGCGTGTAATATACACCAGCACTCCGCCGCCCCCTTACCTGCACTGCACCTCACAGCTGATGTTTGGCTGGTTTGAGGCCTTTTTCAGCCTCCCAAAGGCTTGAGGAAGGCTTCTGCAGGCTTAGCAGGCCGAAAACTAGCCCCGTTTCTTCACTTCCGGTATTTTCGGAAAAACAGGAAGTGACAAAACGGGGCTAGTGTTTGGCCTGCAAAGCATGCAGAAGCCTTCCTCAAGCTTTTGGGAGGCTGAAAAAGACCTCAAACCATCCAAAAATCAGCTGTGAGGCGCGTGCATGCCCAGTGAGGTAAGTTTGCCTGCAGCTCGCGTGCCAGCACAAATGGCTCTGCGTGCCACCTGTGGCATGTGTGCCACAGGTTCGCCATCACGGTCCTAGAGCATCTGTAAATTGAAAAGGTTTAATTTAGAACATCAATCTGGCTTTTATTTTTTCTTTTGACATACTGGTCTCTAAATAAGTTGCAAAATCATTTTAATTTCTCTTATAATTTAGGATATATTACTTGCTTATAATGCTGTGGAAAATGTTCCTAATCTCCCAAAGGTTTTACAAGCATTGGATATTTATTTGCGAATTTTATATTGTTTTTATGTTGTGTTTTATGTTATATTGTTATGTTATGTTATATCATATTGTATTAAAATATTTTATTGTGAATTTGAATGCTGTTTGCATTAATTTGTTTTCAAAGTGGTTTTAGATGTTGAACAAGAAAATTTAATAAAGGACACACATCTACATAATTTGTTTGCTGAATAAGCTTCATGAATTTAAATTCAAGTCACTTGTCAATTATCTCAAGTTACCCTCAGTCTGTCCCATGAACTTGGTTTTTGGATTTCAATTGCATTCTTCATATTTTTCTTTTTCTTTTTTCTCCAGCTGAAAATAAGTCACCACCTCGTTCTTGTGGCTTAAATCATTCAGATTCTCTTAATAGAGGAGATCGCATTGATGCAGTGACACCAGCAATAGGGAATAGCAACAATCAGTTGAACTCCTCATTTCTTCAAGTATATGTTCCAGATTACTCAGTCAGAGCAATCTCAGACATTCAATACGTCAAGGTATGAAAAGGGGAAAAAAAGGATGTTCTTTCTACCTGTCGTTGTAGACTGGAAATATAGTCTGTCTAAACTCTTAATTGTCAATCAGGTCTAATTCAGTTGTGATAAAACACTCACTTGGAAAGAATTATTTCAGATGCATTTTACCTATTTAGAGGTGATCTTGTACTTCTTTTAGGGAAGGACTAAACTTTAACTTGATAAATTAATAAAGTTTGCTCAGTTAATGGCAATTTGAGAGCTATTGTTGGAAGGAATCAGAAGAGTTAAACAACTCCTCCTTGTTGACCCTACTTTCACCTGCCTTCTCTTTCCAGCTAGTACTTTCTAGCTACTCATTAGTGGAGTTGGAAACCCTGCACTTTTCTCTTCAATCTGTAGAGATTCTCTGTCATTCAGGTCATGCTTTGTCACAAATGTGCTTTTTCAGGAGGCAACTGAAAAATGGTTTCAGTTGTTTTTTTCTTTTGAAGACATTTTGATGAGAAGCAAAACATCTTCAAACGAAAAAACAAGAAAGTCCAGTTGCCTCTTGAAAAAGCACTTTTGGGACAACCATGACCTGGGTGACTGAGAATCTCTACAGATTTTTGGCTATGCATTTTGGGATGAACACCCTTTGAATGGTGTGGAGAAGGAATGGATTTCCAGAGAAAAATTGCAGACTACAGGAACCAGGAGTAGTACTCAGGTGACTCTGAGGACACAGATAAATCTCCAAGTGTTTCAATGACCCTTCTAAAGGATGCAAATGACCAGCTGTCTGCAAGGAATATAAATCCTTCCATTCCCCACTATCCTGTCAGAGCTGAATATGTTTCTTGGATGAGAAACATCTTCAAAAGAAAAAAACAAGAAAGTCCAGTTTCTCTTCATATGTTACTCTGTTCCCAAATTGTTTGATTTCTTTTTTAAAAATACTTTAAAGGGATATTTTAAATTTAGCTAATGAGATGGATGTTTGAACGTGAGTGGGAAGGATTAGTATGTATTATGTATGAGAATGTGGATAAAAGAGATAGAAAGATAGCGTGGTCATTTTTTATTTACTCATTCTCACTGCTGGAAAGTGTCTTCACCCCTTAGTCTGTTATTAGTGTATTAAAAATGAATTACAAGAGTATAGCAACATAAAAACAAAAATAGATTTGCAATACTGGGACATCTTGGAAAATAGTTAAGGTACCAGAAAACTGGTGATGGGCAAATGCTGTCTTGAGCTACCAGTATTCATACAAATGAGCATTCTAAAAGCAAATGTCTGTGTATTTGACATTTACATATTTAGTGGGTGCCAAGTTATTCTGAACTTATTCTTAAATAATTTAGGTGCAGGTGATGGGGCTGGGTTGTGAATGACACAGAGCTAAGAGGTATAACTATTATTGTAAAAGTGCCTTGATAGGTTAGCAGAGAAGCCTGAAGTTTAACAGTATGATGTATTTTTTACTAACAACCCCCCCCCCCCAATATATAATTATTACACAGGGAGACCTGGATTGTTTCTGAAGAACTATGTAAATTGAGGGTGTCATTTTAGATCCACTAATAATAGAAGGCTCCTGCTAAAAAAAGTGTTGACCTGGAAAGCTATTAGTGTCTTGTTTGGAAGAGGTTGCTTATTTAATTAATTTGTAACCTTTTCTTGAAGGTCCAAATAGGGCTTCTCTGTGTTCTTTCTGCTCATGGACCTTCTTCATTTTGTCTCCATCCAGTTTTGTCCCTTCTTTATTACCTTTACAGGTACATCTATTCCTCATCCAATTTCCATTCTTTGTGCATAGGTGTGTGTTTTCCTTCTTTTTTATAATTCTGCTTGAAGGAAGAAAAGAATATGTATATCTTTGTGCATGTTCTTGTGGGAGAGTGGTCGGTAAGCAGCCGAGATAATAATTGGTTTGTGCAAATGCAGTATCAATTTTATAAATTGTATATGTTACTAATAATTTGTGGTTGCTCAGTTAATTCTTTTTTTCTCCTGGTCCCTTCTTTTTATACATACAGACATAAGTGTGTGACATGTGAGTTCATTTGATGCCTCTTGTTATAGACATTGTATGACTAGTTCCAAACAGCATTTTGGTTTAAAATTCTGCAGTCATTTTTTTTTTAATGGGAAGTGAAAAACCAGGAAGTGGAAAACATTGACAACTTGCATTGCAGTGATATCCTGCACTGCAAACTCTGTACCAAGCAACAAATTTGCCTACATTTCTATGCTGTTCAAATGTATGATTCTATTTATTTAATTGTATTTAACATGTTTTTATCCAGTTTTTCTTCTTTAAAGCACTATGAATGTTATTTGAGAGAATAAGGGCTTTTGGTCACCTACAATTTCTCCATATAGAGGGAGAAAAGGTTTTAATTAGCATTCATAAACTGCAACTGTCTTTTGTTCTCCCAAATGTTGAGTATTCAAAAAGAAGTACTGTTGTACTTTATGCTATAATAAAACAAATTATTTTTATATATTTGTTTAATGGAAACCACCTACCAGAACAAGCTATTATAAGCCTGCTTTAATAATACACTAATATGCATATTGTCCAGTCATCAGAAGAGACAGTGTATAAAGGACACTGTGTTTAAATTTTCAATCAAAAATTGCTCAGGGAATGGAATTTAGTCAACATCCAGGAGTTGATAAAGCAAGAAATGAAACTTCTAGCTGCCTAGGGATTCAAGAAAGGAGTCAATAGAAAATCGGTAGAGCCATTCTAAAATACAGTATAGAGTAGGGGTGTCAAACTCTCATCATCACGTGATGTATCAGGACTTTTCCCCACTTTGCTAAACCAGGGGTGGGAGTGGCCAGCGCATGGCACATCCGGGTCGCGAGTTTGACAGCCCTAGTATAGAGCATCCATTCACAAAATAAAAACATTATTTCCAATTCAAAGTTAGCTCTCACTGGAGAGCTAAATCAGAAGTTACAATACTCCACCCTCTATCCAGCTGGATTGTGTCATAAGATCCTCTTCGAAGCAATAATGATTTCCAAGTAAACCTTTACTCCTAAGGTTCTGTTTCTTGAGGCTCTGGACTTTCTGCTTCTCAATCTTCTGATTGATCATCCAGGCAATCTTATTATTCCCATAGTTTAAAGATGGTTTGGTGGCATCTTATCAAAGTCTGGGATGCAAAACACACATTTGTATGGGCGTTTTTTTCTTTTTGTTTGAGTGAGAACCAAATGGTTGGGAATCCCTGAATTTTGAATCTTTACCAAAACTTGTCCTCCTTCTCTGAAGAAACCATGATATTGAGTATTTTCAGAAATTCAAACCATGTCATATATAGAATATAATAGACTTATATGGAATATAATAGACAAATATAGAAAAACCTAGTCCCTTCAAGATCCTGATTTTTCTTATTGAGGTTTTTCTAATTTGGGGAGTTAATCAGAGGCAGATTAAGAAAAACAGAGCTTTGTTATCTTACAAATTACATAGAAAAGAATCCTAAATAACTATGATATGTGTGAGAGATCTCACTTTGAATTAATTTGAATAAGATGATTATGAAGGTATGCTAATTTTCATTAAAAATAATTGCAGATGTTTTCAAATACAATTTCTTTACTATGTAAAAAGTGATTTTTTTATTTTCATCAGAGCAAGAAGAAATTTATTATTAGGGTAGGATGATTTCAGCATATTACATAGAAATAGGTGTCTAGATTTTCAAGTTAGGATCCTTTAAAATCTGCTTTATAAACTTTATAGACAAAATACTGTAAAATTTACAGAGAAATTTCTGACAAATTCAGAAGGCATTGCGAATCACAAAGGAGAATTGGTTAAGAATAATGATGCTCCTTCCTGAATCTGCTAGAGAATCTAATGATATGATAGTTGGAGTTTTGAGTCAAAAAGAAACATATTGTCTTTATCAAACTGAAAAGAGTTATAAAAGTTAACTAAACTTATAGAGAGGAGGATTGTATAAAATTAGAGGTATGAGAGAGAGAAACTCAGATGGAGTTTGCAGCATGAATTGGGGCAGGAAAAAAATGTAGCCATTTATTCTGCCTTGAATAAATAGAAATGTATTGTAAATGATGCCAAGCTGTCTTGGAATTCAAAATTTGTGGAACAGATGCTATGTTGCTTATTTTCTATAAAGGCAAGTTATGATTGATGATTCTCCTAATGCTAGCATTATCAGGAGTAATTATTATTATTAATTGCCAACTTTTTTTTGTATCTTTTAACGTACTTGGTATAGATCTCAAGACAGCAATACCAAAATGCCCTAATGGCATCTCGAATGGATAAAACACCTCAATCCTCGGACAGTGAAACCACTAAAATAGAACTGACTCTTACAGAACTGCATGACGGTTTGCCGGATGAGATGGCAAATCTACTGAACGAACAGAACTGTGTAACTCACAACAAGTCCAACCACAGTATGCATAATGAAGGTACCATTTAGGAATTGTCACACTGCTTTCGTCCTCTTTCTCTGCTTTCCATCTTCGTCGCTGGTTCACCAGGACCAGTCCTCCCTCCTTTGCCTTCTCTCCAACTGTGACCACCATTAACGTGTGCTTATATCCAGTGTTCTGAGACCAAAGACATCCTGGGAGCAGGAGACAACATTGGGAAGGAATGGGAGCTCAGAAATGAGAGCACAGAAGGAAAAACCAAAAACAAAACAAGCAGCAAACACCTAAGCAAAGCTTGGCAATGTTGAGCCATCTTTTTGGGGACAAATGGCAACATTATTCCAAGTGGAGCAGAATCAGGTCTATTTTTTCCAGTTACATTGGTAATCCTTTTAAATATATGCTGAAAAGTCAAAACAGCTGTAGTTTATTTTTTCAAGCAATATCACGAATCTTTAAAAAATATTTTGCAGTGGGAAATATTGCAGGATATTCCCAGTTAAACTCTACTGTATTGTTTGTGACTTTGTTCCAATGGTCCCATCTTTCATTCATTGCTTTTTCCCCTTAGATAAAATGATGAAATATTGTCATTTGTAGAATGTATTGGTTGGGGAAAAATATTAATATCCTTAAAGAACTTCACACAGATTGCTCCTGAGACTGGAGAAAAGTAAGTGGCCCTTTAATCCTTCCGAGTTGTGCATGAGGACATGTCATTTAAGAGGCCATATTTTTGAGTCCAGGAATAGTGGAATATGTGGACACCATATGAAAAAAGGAGGATTTGTGTCCTGAAAAATTGCACATGGTGTTTTATTTATTCGGGAGATAAGTAGCAATTTTTGCTGTTTCTCCTTTGCTGAGTGCATGTTTAAACTTTGGAGTATTTTCAGAGTCTATGTATTGTCAGTCATGCCGCCCTTTACTTTCAACAAAGAACTTGTTGTAAAAGGTATGTTAAGAGAGCTGACTTTTTTGTTATTTAAAAATGCTGCTATGCTGATAGCCAAAGTCAATCCTCCCAAAGGGTCTGTTCTTAGAAGATACATGCCCCTGTAGATGCTGCTGGGCCAGCCTGTTCTTTAACATTCCTTTTAAGATAAAGTCAGTGTGTGTTAGAGGAGTCGAAGCTAGGGGGCAGGAAGAAGAGAGGTGGGATATGTTTCAACAGCTGGGGGAGAAATTCTGTTTTTTCATACATTCATTCTTTAGAGGTCCTCTTTTTAACCTTCAGTTCTTAATCAGCTGTTCATAATTTTTATGAACACTTGGGCATGAAAAATGAAGAGCTAAATCCCCGAAGAACGTGCTCCACTTCAGGAAGTTGCAATTTATTTTGTGGCATCTGGGGAGCATTCCCTGAGAAATGCCTTGCAGTTACATATTTAAACCACCTCATTTGACACTGCTGATGAGATCCTGAGTTGCCCATGCCAATCTCCCTGCTTACAAGAAATATGACCTTGAAAACCTAGTAGTACTGAATGGAGAAAAGGTTCTATTCTGCAGAATAGCATTCAGGGCTGGCCTCCAGAGTGTGTTAGTCACAATGACCTCCTGAGTCTTGATGTTTTTTTCATGCTGGAACTCTGAATTTACAGGGATATTTTGCAGATGTGAGATGAACCTTATGTAAATTGTCTGTAGCTCTGCTTATGCAAATATCCTAACCCCAAACAGCTGTGTGCCTAAGTGAAATTTATTTTACTTTAGGTTGTGATTCTTATTTTGCAGTTTAATCTGTAAATATGAAAGAGCTGTTTTTTCATTGTTGCCCACAAGACTTTTTGAGTTCCCATGAAGCACAATGTAGATTTCTCCATTGCAGTATGCCATTGAGTAGGATTGACGTTTTGAAAATTTCCTTTTATTAGCATAATACTCATAATCTATTAACTTTTTTCAGGCTTGTCATGAAATGCAGACAAACTTCTTTAGAGGCTGCAAAATGCTGTGCCCTTGAATATTGAATTTTCTAATGTAATGTGCTGTTGAAAATGATGCATTATAATTTGGCCTGTTATGACAGATAGATTAACTGTTTCTGTGTTTGTATTTCATGTACCTCTTTTCATATTTTGTTCCCCAGAACACATACTGAATTGTTAGAATTATATCCAAATGATTATGCTGGTTTGTCATGAAAAGATTTTCTAGAACTTCCTAAATATTTTAAAAGTGTATATCAATCTTTTGTAATTATTTCAAATCACTATATATAGTTGAATGACTAAATATTCCAGTCCAGAGCCGAATGACCTCTATCCCTGAAACAAAGTGGTGCACGGAAGAAATTAGTAGCAGGCTATTTGTATTATTTAGGCTTCCCAGCCAATGCAAAGCTAAAGGTGCTCTCAGTTCAAAAGAAGAGGTAATGTTTTAGAAGTTTTCTTCTTTATATCTATTCTGTCAATATCTGCATCACAGTTGGACTTTACTTTCTGATGAGTGGTCTCCTTTCCTGTTCAAACTTCAAGATTCCATCATGTATTAAAATGTAATGTGTAAAATTAACATCCACTGGATTATCTGAATTTACTCATGTCTTTAAGAATATTACTCAATTTATGTAAATTCTGCTTTCCATGTATTATGCCAATCATTTTGTCCATTTTTTTAAAAAAATATCCAAATATATTTTGGCAAGTAGCGTGACTTTCACAGTCACTTTAGAATGGAATGTTTGGAACCTTTCCCATTCAAATACCACAGGGCAGGAAAAGTTTGAAATATGAGTCTTCAGATTTTGACAGACATCTTCCTGGGCTCTTTGTCCCACTGCTCTACTGCTCATGTTTTCGCTGTTTCTTCTTCTGGGATTTGTTAGTCAGCATTGGTCATTAAGTTTTTGTATAAGTCTTACATATAGCCTTTTGAACCATGCTTGTTTTTTCTTAGACTAGTTCTTCAACTGCCTGTGAATTAGTTTTGCACTTACTAATGTGAATGCCTTATACCTTTTAGGATAACACATTTCTAAGTCTCCATAAAGTGATAATTATTTCTTGAAATGTTTTATCTGTGAAGTAAGATCTCAGAGATCATTATCTTCATTTTGCAGTTGGACTTAGCTCCAAATGTTTTCTCTCTAAATTTGCATGCTGTGGGTGCAGAAGATTTGCAAAGTTTCACTGATCTTAACCAGCCACCTAAATGCACAGCTTTTAACATTTGGGCTGTGTAACCATGAATCATCCAAGTGTGGCTGAAGATTAGGGCTATGCAATTGAAGAATGAAGTGCAGTAAATCAAATTACATACTTTTGCATAATTAATTTCCAAAATATTTTGTATGCTTTCTCTTAAGGAGCTAATTTCCAATTCCATGTGAAATATGTTGGCATGTATGAAAGCAAAGAACAATATAACCTAAGTATTAAATCCTTTATATTTTTGATACATAAGCATTAATCATCCACTTCCCGCCCCAGTATACCCCAATTCCTCTGCCTTTTAATCTTTATAAAAATGAAATATAGCACCATCTTACCCCTTCTGGCATGTGAAGAAATGGTACTTGAGCATAACATTTCTTTTTTTCATGTTCATGTACAGTATGGTTGTTCTAAACTTACCAAGTCTTGCACAGAGATTTTATATCTTTGTGTCAGGAATCAGTCCTGTGGGTTTGTGGTAGTATGATGGATAATATTCCAAGCCGATTTTTCACTGTTCTGGCATCCTTAGGAAACAGGTAGTATAGTATCCAGCAATAAAAAATATCAGTTGATCCAATGGTCATAAACACATTTTTCTCTACTTTGATGTATATATTATCTTTCTGATCATATTACGTTCCTCTATATAAATGACTAGATCTCTGGAGACTGTTTTGAAATTGTAGGGATGGCTATTCCATGTAGTGAGCTACAGCTACGTGGTTATGACTGCTTGTAGCAATAAACTCCTTCATATATAAGTAGTTCTGTAATTTTGAGCAACTCTCACAAGGTGGTTATTGTGTGAATTAAGACAGCCCAGAGATGTTATTTATCAATTAAGAGTGCAGGTGGAATCCCACAAGTAATTATTATGTTTCATGCTCAGGGCTGATAAGACAAAAGCAATATTGCTAGATCCACCATGGAGACATACGTATGCCTTGTCCCTCAGGTAAATGTAATAAAGAATTATTGGAAAGGGTTTCAGAAACATTAAACTCTTAATACAAGATATAATTAGTCCAACATGTCCAAATGACTGTACATTTCCAACAAGTGATGTGTATTTTGATAGTTTGATAACAATGGCAACTCACAAGCAAGAAAGGCTTTAATTCCATTTTCAGACATTTGCTAAATTGGCAGAGTGGTGGTTATGATGGTGGCCTGAACAAAGCTTGAGTGCTTGGACTTTCTCGATTGAAACAAGGCAACATTTGAACAAGAAGGCACATTTATGCATTATTCTAATGTCCAGTTAGAATCATTCTTACATCTATGTGTGAAAATCTCTATATCTGAAAATCTGTGCTTTGTATTTGGGGATCTGATTAGCTGGCTTTTTACAAATATTCTTGCTTTTAAGTCAAAATGATCTTATTTATTTTAACTACCAGAATACAGCGCCTCCATTTTATCACAGAAGAAAAACATGTCTGTAAATTAAAGTATATTTGTTTCAGCCCTTGAATTCTGTACAGCATTTCCTGTGATCTTTAGAATATGGCATCTTCATGATAACAAAAAACAGGGGCGTGGAATATTTTGCAGCATTGAATGCAGTCAGTGATTCCTTGTTTTGCCTCCTTTGGATTATGTACCACGAGACGCTTCATAATCTGTACCGCTTCCTCCTAGGCCAATCCCCAAGACAGTCTGACACAAGTAGCTCTGCAGATGAAACTAGATTAGAATAGGGTGACTTTGCTGGTTAGGGTTCATTTCCTTTCTGTAATGTGTAAAATGTTATCGCAATAGGCAACCAGTTAAGATCTACATGCTTCCTGTATCCTTTTCCTAACATACTTCTGGCAGTTAGCATTATTTCCACTGAAGTGCCTGTCTAGCTGCTGTAGCAATGCTGCAATGACATATCTTTTTATAAAGTGAGTGATACTAAACCATCTTCTAGTTAATCCTAGAATAAATGTGTAGACTGAATTAACATTACAGCAATGAGCCTTGAACTCAAAAGATGGGAGAATGAATACAGGGTTAAACATAATTTCTTATAAACGTATGAGGTGCTAGAAAGTGTTTGAGCCTCTTGATATTTTGCTGTCGCTCACTTGACCTTAGAAATTGTTTAATTTTGCTTAGAAGTCAGAGAATTGTGCACGGTTGCACAATCTACATCTAGGTTAGCTCATGGATGAAGAAGGGAAATGTGTACACTTTTTGATGGGTATCTGTAGCACATTTGTGCTATTAATAACAAGGTGCTGAAACTAAAGGCACAATGGGAGGCTAGAATTTGTTACTGAAACAGAATAGCCATTGTATAAGGGGTTTCTAAGAACTGTCTGTTATTTATGATGTACATTTCTTCCACTTATTTTTACTGTTTCATACATTGAGATTTTATGGTTATTGTCATTTCTTAGCTGTAATTCCTCTTGGCTTGATCCTACCACTGTATTTACATTTCTTAACTGGCTGTAGTATTTCTAAATAACCTGTTTATGGATTTGAAGGAATTAATGAAAACAATCACAATATAATTTTCAAGATTAGGAATTAAACTGATATTGTAAGGGAGAAGGTAACAATAAAGGAGAATACCATACTTCACGCTTAGGTCTTAGAGCTCTTAATTCTATACTTCATTTTTTTCAGAGATTTATCTGGATCTCTACAGAATGTTCTTTCTCAAAAATATTTGTACTTCTGCATGAGCTGCAACAGCGCCCTCAACCTTTTGGGTGCCTGGGATCGGTTCCATGAAGAGATGTTTTTCTGCAGACCATAGGGAGCGTGGTTTCACATGCTTCCTGCATCTCATGTGGGCACAGATGGGGCTTCATTAGTTTGTGCAGCCCGGTTTCTGGCGCACCCTAGACCAGTGCCAGTCTGTAGCCCAGAGGTTGGGGACCTCTGAATTACAATACAGTAGCTACACTTAAGGTCATGTTGAAACTTAATTACATCTCAGGAAAAGCTTTCTAATGGAGTTAGTATATCTTTCTCCCTCATAAATGTTGCACAGAATTGCAGATTTATACAGATGTAATACAGTATATCAAAACTATAAAGTTCCAAGCATTGGATTCCAGTTTTCATTATTGCTGATTGCTGACCATGCTTTGGTAAGAATTCAGAGGCTCCTCACACAATTTGTTTCCACTTATTACTGCACTCCAAAATATCTATACTCTTTTTTGTTGTTGTTAATGTTGCATTGTAACTATGCATTCTCTCTCTTCTAAGTGGGACACCCAATAGTATTCCATACTATGTTTATATAATTTTTGAAAAAGCACAAGTGGAATGTACACATTTCATAATCAATCTGTAATCCCAGTGGAGTGTACCATTACTCAGTGGTGTTGACAATTCATTCTATTTATTTTGAACTTGATTTATTTGTATATTTTGCAATTTTATTGAAAAGCAGTTTATTTCTGTTAGATAAATGTGTTTTTTCTGTTGACCTTTCTTTAAGTGGTTCCTTCACATTCCATGCATCATCTTTTGTTAATAAGAGGACAAGATGGTAATTTTCTAAAAGTAGCTTCCAGGGAGAATGGAAGGCTTCTTCCAAAGGAATGTTTGACTTCCGAAAGTCTTTGGTCAGGATTTGACTTTGTTGTTCATGAATGATTACTTGCAGTCTTGTTAATGGTCAGTCACCAGCTAGAAAAGGAGAGAACATTATGCTGGTATTTGTTTTCATGTAGAAGCAAAACATTGTGTTTTTAAAAAAATATTTGAGATAAAATTAAGAACTAGCTGGCCTTCCAATTTTCCTTCCCTCCTAGTGTGATATTCTTATTTCTAGTATTCATGGAAGATTTGGGTGTCCAATTAAGCCCATGGTTATTATATACTGAACAAGCTGATGATGGAATTTTTCTTTCCTACATAAGACATATACATTTATTTTTAATCTAGATAAAAAAGGCTGCAGTGTTCATGTCAATCTATCTAATGAATATTAATCATATACTTCAGTTGTTTCTATGCATTTTAGGTTTTTTTTTTAAAGACACCAAAAACAATGATTCCTTCTCAACTTTAAGCCAGTCATCCCTCAATGTTAGTAGGATGCCGCACTGAAATAAAGCAACCATATTAAATTATCTCCGTGGCGAACAAAAGTAAAGAAGGTTTTAACAGAAGAGCTGCTGGCTGAATTTGTGCTGCAAAGTAAGAACCCTTTAAACAGATTTTGTTTCCTGCTTTCTTCTAAAAGGAAGTGAAAACTAATACAACATGGTATGAGCTTACTGGAGTATGAGCTTACTGCAGAAACAATACAAATACACGACGCTTAGTGAAAACTACTCAAAATATTAAAATATATGCCTAATATACCGAGACACTGCTCTCTCCATGTGACTGAGATGGCATGGTGACATGTCAATCAACCATTTCTGTACTCGTGGAATAAAACAGGACTCCACAAATCACTGTTGGATGCAATGACCATTTTTGCTGCGGGCTGTTTTTCAGGACAACCAGAATGCCTTAGACACTGAGACTTGCATATAGATTTATTGAGGAAATCTATAAGGCATAAGCTACATTTAAGACCAGAGCAAACAATTGGCTATATTTGGACTTACATCAATGAGTCTCCATTGCCACAATTGGGTTCTTTTTTCTGTACTTCTGGTTTCTTCAAATCTGCTCTGGAGGATCTAAATTATTTTGCTGTATATGATACTACTGGCAACAAATCCCACCTTCCAGCATTCCCCACTTTTTGATCATCTTCTTTCCTATCGAAGTGTTGAGGACAAATTTGAAGGGTTGCTGGAAATGCTTGCTACCATTGTAAATAATTTCTTTTAGAAATAAAAGTAGTAGTTGAACTGACTATACTTACCACCAGAGCAGTTAAAAGCTCTTTTTCCAAACTAAGACAAGATGACTGCAACTTGGTGAAATTATTGATGGGGCAACTAAGAGCTGGTTCACAAGGCAGAAATCCACAATAACACAGAACAGGATTGCAATTGGTTAAGTGTGGGTTGTTGGAACTCCTAAGACAACCTCGATCTGTTGCCTATGGGCAGCCTCTTCCAATTCTGATTGCACTGATAATACACAGCTCATTATGATGTAGGTATTCATTTCTATTCCAAGATTAACCTCTGGACAAAATCCAAATTGCCCACCATTGCCATCAAGTTACAGCAAAATGCAATAAGGTTTGGATAATGGGAGCTGAATATCCCAGAATTGCTCTACATTTCATGAAACATCTGTACTTTTCATAATGGTAATTATCCCTGGATGAGATGTTATTCACATATCTTTAAACTTGCTTGTAAAACTTTTGGTTAGCCAGTCTAACACTGATAACTTTACCTTTTTGCATCTTTTCAGAAACACATAAAAAGCTGCTTATGAATATCATAATTTTTATTTGCAGATCTGTCAGAGCAGTACCAGCTTATCCTGCTGATTTGCAATTCAGTGTGTTTAATAATGGAATATAATTACTATTAAATGATTCAAAATAAAAATTCCAATATTTTAAAATAGGGCCTCTTTTCTGTCTTCTATACACCAATGGCACAGAATGGTAAGAGATATGTTTACACTCCAGGAAATTGCTTATTTATATGAAAAAGAAACCCAGGCAGCCTTGCACTAGAGAGTAACTACCAGGAAATGTGCTTTAATTTAACAGCCTGAAGTAATTAATAAGACAACAAGCCAGGCCCTCGGAGCCTTTTACAAATATTATGAAGCTGACCTTCATTGAGTCTCATTCTTGGAATGGAGGTAAAAACAGTGGCCCAAACAAGGACATCCTGTTGAAGGCGTTCTTTTTTGTAAAGGCTCTGGAACCATTTGCTGCCACATATTCCAACTCTGTAGGAGTGAGCCGAGTGGCTGCTAGCTGAAAAAAAGAATCTCACTCTGACACAGAGCTACAGTTTTAGCAATAATAAAGTAATGAAAAGAGGTGCAAATAAAACTTCCTTTTTTAAGGTTGTAATTTTCTTTGTCTGGACTACATGAGCATTTGTTTTCTTTGAGGCCATGCACGCATACAAAACCACTTCTTATTTTCCTTCTCCCATAAAATTGAGCACAAAAGGCATAGATCTCCCCAGTAGAAATAATCCGGGCAAAGCACAAGCATAAGGATCCATTTTAGAAAGTTCCAGAACACAGGTATCACATGCCTCCATCAGAATGATAAAGCTTTCAAATTTCAGCCACAGAAAACTACCTATCAGACATCCAAGAACAGATGGTATTTCATCAATCATAAAGTATAAAGATGAATAGAAGCTGGAAATCAGTAGAGCTAAGGCAGAGGACCGCGCTTGACCAGATGAACTGAACCCTGAAAATACTCCCATTTTTACACATACGGGATTGAGGAGAGAGAGGACTCCACCCCTAAAGGATCAAATAACTACTATAATTGCTGTGATTACTGCAGGTCATGGAAACCTTCCTGCCTGAGAGGCTACTTTAATGAAATGAACCAGTAGAGAATTAAAAAATACATAAACAAGCCTTCCTTTTTATGTGTGTGCGGGGGATGCATTTGGGCTGTCTATATGTGGTCTTCATTCAGCCAGCACATTCTTTATATATTTGGAATAGATCTGCAAGGAATAAGCTTGCTAAAGATAAAGGGCTCCTGATTAGTTTTTGTTTGCTTGCTTGTGTATTATTCCCCACTTGGGGGGAATCCATTCCTGCCAATTCCTGCTATAGCCACATTTAATGAAAGTATTTTCTATTCTTCCTCTTCTTCCTCCTCCTCATCATCATCCTCATCATGGCAATGTGTAATCTCTTGGGGTGTTTGAGGGAAGAGATTGGGTGGTTTAATCTCACTAACAGATCGGGTGAGCTGATGTCGCTTGTCGGAATCTTTGAAGTCCACTGAAGTGCGGTTACGGGTAGCCATTGGGGATTCAGTCTCATTGATATCCACATGGGTGTGCTCCACTGTTGACTCGTGTGGCATCTGCAATAGAGAAGAGAGTATCTTTCCCTCAGTGGTCCAAGAAGTTAGGTGACTCATTAGCTGCATTATTTGCAAACACTGACATGGATTTTCATTTCTATATAAGACCACAAAGGAGCTTACAACAGCAAAAACAATGCATTAAAACAGACGTGCAACAACATTGTATTAAGTTGCTTACATTTTGAAAAACTAAAATATTTATATCACAAAGCAGGGGACAATCTGCCTCTCCTACAGAGGAATTTGTCACCCTAGAGTGGTGAGTATTTACTGACATTAACAAAATGAGAGAGTTGTAAGTGAGGAACTCTTTGTATAGGAAAGCCTGCAATTTTTCCTTATCGAGGGCTAACTGGCCCATTACCAACTCTGCTTACAAAGTATTTCTGCAAGCACCCTATTGGTCATATGGATGTAGGTGTAATATATCTTGTGTAGCTTCCTTGTTTAATATGAACCAGTCAGATATGGGTGAATTCGGGTTCAAGTCAATATGTCTTCATGGGGATCATTTTTCAGAACTGCTCCTTAAAAGTAGAATTTCAAACTGCTCCAAGCCTTTCTCCCTCGAGCCGCTCGGAGCATCCAGACTGTGGGATGTGCTTCTGAGTCCTCTTCTTTCAGGCTGAGCTTTAGACGAGGAAACACTCCGCCCCTCCCACGTGGCATCGCGCAGCGTCTCCCCAGTCTTTTGCTCAGCCTCGAAGAATCAGGCTGCGTTTCAAAGAGCTCCTTGGCTGTTTCATTGAATCCTCCGTCCTAATAAGGTTTGCTTCCTTCCTCCTCCTGCGCAAAGGGTCAGGACTCAAGGGAAATTTTTTCCCTGTCCTCAGGGTGAAGTTGCGGGCTCGCAGCGCCTTCAGCGCGACGCCCCCCCCCACCCTTATCAGATCGCGTCGCTGCCTGCGCGTTGCCTGTGGCACGCGCTCCTCCGCTGGATTCCCCCCCACCCTAAACGCCAACCGGGAGGGCTATCGCCCCTAGGGCTTTAGGAGCGCCGAGCTGACCGGCCAAGCCTTCCTTTTCTTCCGTCCCGAAGGCGCCCAGGCAGTTCAGCTCGAGGACGCCATTTTGGCTCCACCTCGTGGCCGGGCGCTGAAAGTTTCTTTTTATTTAATATTCAGCTGCGGTGAATTAAATCTCCAGGCCTAGGGTTAAAGCCTAGCTGCCCATCGAACTGCCTGGCTAGTCTTGGTTAGTGCTTGTTGGCCTCCCGCAGCCCTTTTCGGGGCGAAGTTGCAGCCTCCCCCCCCTCCGGTTTTTTCTTCTGTTGTCTGGAGGCTGGCTGCCAGAGGCCTCCTATTCAACTCTAGGCCTCAGGCGTTATTCGACTGATTTGGCACTGAGAGATATACATCCAAGGAAATAACTATAATAGAATTTATATTTGATCCAAATACAAAAGGAATAATAACAAAAAAGAAATAATATTTTTGGTACAGCAATTTTTCTCTTAAGATATTGGATATATCGGAGTACCTGTATATTCAGCTGATATAAAGAATATAAAAAAGCACTACAGAAAGGAACAAAACAGGATTACATAGCTAAATATATATATATATATTTCTGTTATCTCTGTACAAGTAAAATTCCAAAAGGGGGAGCGGGCCAGCCTCATCCTCACCCGGCCTTATCCAGGCCTGATCTGGGCGAGCCAACCGCCCTTATTAATCTCTATTGTTCAATATGGCAGACGACAATTCCTCTAAACGTCCTTCATTGAAGGCCAAGGCAAAGTCCCACTATTTGCGCAAGCAGGACAAGGAACCTAAGGGCTCTAGAAAGGACAAGGAACCTTCCAAGGCCTCTCAACGTGACGCCTTAAGGCGCCACAAGGCGTTAGAAAAAGAGTTCGACAGGCGTTCAAGGGAGTCCCGCTCTGAACCGTCTCTACCTCCTCCTCCACCCCCTACCTCTATTCAACCTCTCCCCCCAGGCCTTTCTTCCCTACCTAGGCGCAGTTCGCCCCAGGGTCTCCCGACCCCCGGTCCTACGATGAGTCTGACACCCGAAGCCACTTTTACACCCACGGCTGTTGGTCTGCGCCAGGACGAACCTTCTACATCTGAGGTGCCACCTCACATCAGGGCTTGGATGGAATCAGCCATCCGCCAGAGTGTTATAGAGGAACTACAGCACATGTCCAGATCAGGCTTCTCTCCTCGAGTCTCCGAGCACGACTCCTTGTCTATCAGATCCCTTCCACAACCGGTCCCCCCGGTTGCTCAGGTACTCTCTCAGAGGGACAGCCCTCCTCCGGTTGGGGCCCAGGTTGAGGAGGAAGGGGACTTTAGGGATTTCGAGGAGGAGGATTCCCAGATGGGTTCCTCCCGCTACAGTGAACCTCCCTTAGAGACTGACATCATGGAGGGGGAGATGTCCGAGGACGAGGGCACTTCGACTGACCAACCCTCCTTTGGGGGGCTCTTCAAACCACACATGTTCAAGTCCCTCCTTCTTAAGGCCAAGAATGTCTCGGGCCTTCTTTCCCAGGCCCCTGCTGACCTCCCCCCCATCCCAGAGGGCCCAGAAGATTCCATTTTCACCCAACCAGTGGTTGAAGCTGAGGTCATCCCTTCCCCCCCCATATTCGTAGATCTGGTAGCGAAGCAACTATCCTCCACAGGGACCCCTCCCACACCCTCTAGCCAAGACAAGAGGTTCTTTAATCTCGATTCGGCACTGTCCAGCCTCCTGAACATTCCAGAGGTCGATGACCCTATTGTGGGTCTAGCTTCCTCCTCTACACCTAGTGAGGCCCTAGAGGCCTTGAAACCTGAGGATAAGCGGGTGGAGCTGGCCCTGCGCAGGGCCCACCTATCCGACGCCTGGGCCATTAAGTCAGCTACCGCCGCCTCTTTTTTCACTAGGTCCTCTATCCGCTGGCTACGTCAGCTCAGGGAACACGTCCCTGCTTCCAACCTGAGGGCGCACCAGGACATTGCGAAGCTAGTGGCTGCAGCCGAGTTCTCGGCTGACGCCACTTACCAGTCGGTGAAATTCTCTTCCAGGGCCATCACGTCCCACGTCACGGCTCGTCGCCCGCTATGGCTCAAACACTGGCAGGCGGACGTAAAGAATAAGGTCAAGCTGGCCACTGCCCCTATTACAGGAGACAAACTGTTTGGCCCGGCCCCCGAACCCCTGCTGGTCGAGGGTCGCAGCAAGAGGAAGTACTTGCCTTCCCTTCTTCGAAGATCGGAGACCAGGGGCTCTCAGCCCTTTCGGAGGAGCTTTCCCCGCCCTTTCTACCAACCCCCCTTCCCGCCCAGATTCCCCCGACCCCCTTCCTTCCGATCCCAGGATCGCACGGACTCAGGCGACAGGACCAGGCGAGGGGGTGGTTATAAGAGACCCTTTCGGGGTACGGGAGGAAGGCCCTACCGCAGAAGGTAGAGCCTCCTTCTCCCTCCCCATTGGTGGCCGCCTCAGCCACTTCGCCGCCCAATGGGACAAATCCACTTCCGATGCATGGGTTAGAGACACAATAAGGTTTGGTCTCGCCCTCGAGTTCAAATCCACTCCCCCTGATCGTTTCTTCCCATCCCCCTCCTCAGGGGATCCCACCAAACGTGCATTAATGGATGCAGCCATCCATCACCTGCTTGATATTCAGGCCATTCAACCTGTCCCTCCGGCTCAGAGAGGAAAGGGATTTTACTCCCATCTCTTTGTCGTGCCCAAACATTCTGGGGGCTGGAGAGCCATCCTAGACCTGAAACGGCTCAACCGTCACCTTATCCAGCGCAAATTCAAAATGCACACCTTGCAATCCATTCTCCTAGGCACCAGGCGGGGAGACTGGCTGTCCTCCATAGATCTCTCTGAGGCATACCTTCATATTCCTATCAGGCCCTCTCATCACAAATTCCTTAGGTTCTGTTATAATGGCCTTCACTATCAATACGTGGCCCTACCCTTTGGGCTGGCCTCGGCCCCCAGGACCTTCACCAAGGTCCTGGCGGCCCTGGCGGCCCACCTCAGGAGCATTCCCGTCCGCCTCCACTGCTACTTGGACGATATCCTTATCCTGTCCCCGTCCAAGTCCCAGGCAGTCAGGGATACCAGGGTCACCCTTTCCGCCCTACGGGCACACGGGTTTCTAGTCAATTGGCAAAAGAGCCAACTTACCCCTTCCACCCGAATCAACCACCTGGGTGCCATAATTGATTCGGTCTCAGAGAGAGTTTTTCTCTCCCCAGAGAGGTTTCTTAGCATTCAAACCCTGGTCAAACAAATTAGACGTTCTAGGAGGGTGGCCTTGCTTGACCTCTCTAGATTGTTGGGAAAAATGGTGTCATGCATCTCTATTATTCCCTGGGCCCGCTTACACAGCAGGCCCCTCCAGTGGTTCCTGCTCCCGTTCCAAAGATCCGGAAGAAGCAACTCGAAGATCAGAGTCAAGGTCCCTCCAAAGGTCCTCACGTCTCTTCTCTGGTGGACCAATCCCGCCATCAACAGAGGCCACCTCTTTGCGGAGCCTCAAAGACTCACCGTCACTACCGACGCAAGTCTATCCGGTTGGGGCGCTCATCTCAACTCACTCTCGGCGCAAGGCAAATGGTCGCCGACCGAACAAAGATGCAGCATCAACTGGCTAGAGCTCCATGCCGTCCATCTGGCTCTGCGCTGCTTCCCCCAGATCCGCAGTCGCCATGTTCTCGTTCTCACAGACAACGTCACGGCCAAGGCCCATATCAACAGGCAAGGGGGCACCCAGTCAATTCAACTGATGAGGGAAGCCGAGCGCCTTTGCCGCTGGGCAGAGGCCAACCTTCTATCACTAAAAGCCGAACACATCTCCGGGATAGACAATACCCAGGCGGACTGGCTGAGCAGGGCCACGGTGGACCAAGCAGAATGGCGACTTCATCCATCCCTGTTCGAGGAAGCGTCCAAGATATTCGGCCTTCCAGTGGTGGATCTGTTCGCTTCCCCATCCAACACACAACTTCCACGGTTTTTCTCCCGGTATCCGTCTCACGGGGCGGAGAACCACAATGCTCTGCGCTGCCCATGGCCCCCAGGGCTCCTATATGCCTTCCCTCCGCTCCCGCTAGTGCCCAGAGTCATTCAGAAGCTCATTCAGGAGAGGGCAGACCTTCTCCTGGTGGCTCCCTATTGGCCCAGGCGACCGTGGTTTGCGGACCTCCGCAACCTATCGGTAGCGCCCCCATGGCGGATCCCCCCGGACAGGGTCTCCCTCTCTCAGGGGCCCCTTCTACATCCGGAGCCTCAATGGCTACAGTTAGCCGTCTGGAAGTTGAGCGGATCCGTCTGACTAGCGAGAACCTATCAAGCCATGTCATCGACACTATTTTGGCCGCCAGGCGACCCTCCACTACACGAATTTATGATGCCACTTGGAAGGGGTTCTGCAAGTGGTGTAGTGGGTCCCAGGTTGACCCTCTCTCTCCTTCCGTGGCTCAGATTCTGGAATTTCTTCAGGAAGGCCTTCGCAAGGGGCTTGCACCTAACACCCTGAGACGACAAGTCTCTGCCCTCCCAACAGTGGTCTCCTGTGATAACTACGGCTCCCTTTCCCATCACCCCCGGGTTAGATCCTTCCTTAGGGGTGCCACCAACCTGTGCCCTCCCACTGTTCACAGGTTTCCCACATGGGACCTCAACAAGGTCCTAGTTTCTCTTACACGTTCTCCGTTTGAGCCTTTGAGGGAGTCATCTCTTCAGTTCCTCACCTTTAAGGTAGTTTTTCTAGTAGCCATCACTTCTGCTCGTCGAGTGTCGGAATTAGCAGCTCTGTCAGTCAGGAGCGATCTATGTGTGTTCCATGCAGACCGGGTCGTCCTGCGGCCTGACCCCACTTTCCTACCCAAAGTTAACTCGCCCTTCCATAGATCTCAGGAACTGGTTCTACCAAATTTTTGCCCTAGACCCTCCGGGAACAGGGAGGTTCTTTGGCACACCCTAGATGTTAGACGGGCCTTGCGTATATATATTAAGCGCACTCAGTCCTTACGAAGGTCGGAATCTCTTTTCCTGTCCTTTCAACCCAAGACACTAGGGCTCAAGGTTTCTCCTTCCACTATCAGCCGCTGGATCAGGGCGACCATCGCCAGGTGTTACCTTTCCCATTCTCTGCCGGCACCCGGTGGAATAACTGCCCATTCCACCAGGAGTGCAGCCACTTCGGCGGCCTGGGCCACACAAGCCCCCATTGCTGACATTTGTAGGGCAGCCACCTGGGCCTCTCCGTCCCTGTTTATCAGGCATTACAAGATCGATACGTATGCCTCAGCTGAGGCCTCCTTTGGCCGGCGGGTCTTACAGAGGGTTGTCAATGATCCGGAGGGGCCTTCGGGCCAGACGGAGTCCCACCCATAGGACAGCCAAGCTTTGGTATGTCCCACAGTCTGGATGCTCCGAGCGGCTCGAGGGAGAATGGGGCGTTGGTCCTTACCTGATACGCCCCTTCTAGGCGAGCCGCGAGGAGCATCCAGCCCCACCCTAGCATCTCCGTCTGGTGGGGACTCCTGTTTTCAGCCAAGGAGCCAATAGTTGATTAGATAGGATTAATAACTTCTCTTCTCGTTATCGCAAAAAACTGGGGAGACGCTGCGCGATGCCACGTGGGAGGGGCGGAGCGTTTCCTCGTCTAAAGCTCAGCCTGAAAGAAGAGGACTCAGAAGCACATCCCACAGTCTGGATGCTCCTCGCGGCTCGCCTAGAAGGGGCGTATCAGGTAAGGACCAACGCCCCAATCTCACTAGCATTCAGAGAAAGTTATTTCAGAAAAGAGGTCTCACTGGTCCACCCTTATCATGTAGGTAACTGATTAGCCTCATTTTTTTCCTGTATGCAATGCCAATGTCCTCCTACCTGATACACTAGGCCACATCTCTCTTCTGTTGAGAATGCCTTACTCTATATCTTGAAGAGTCAGAAAAAGGTCTGGACCATTCTGTCTAGCTGAATGAATGAAAATCTGTTTCAACTTACCAGCACGTGGGCAGCTCTGAAGAGGTAACTGAAAGGATAATACAAGAGGTTGATGAAAGATGCTGCATAGAGATCTGCATATCGCATCACTTGACTAGCAAACAGCGTTTGTCGGGAACCACTTCGGAACAAACTTCCCATCATCCCATAGCACATATCCATGTCATGAGTCACTTTCTAAAATCAGAGAAGGAAGTTAGTAAGCATTTGCCAGGATCAACAATTCTTTCTAGAAGTGAGAGCTTTAATTCCTATATAAGGGTTTCCCATTTAATTCAGGGGATGCTAATTCCATTTATTAAAAACGGATGCCATTGGAAACATAGAACAAACTTGTTCCTGCTGGATTACAAATAATGCTTTATTCTATTGAACCCTCTTGTTCAGTTACAGATCAAAAGCTTTTATAGATAATGGATGTTAGGGAATGTTGTTCACAACTTAACTGTTCCTTGTAGTAGCAGGCCATTAGGGCTTTGTGTTTATATAACTTGACAACCAAGGAGGCATTTTTAGAATAAGTAAAATGGGATGGGAAGTACTGAACTCTAGAGCATACACAAAGAATTTTTATGGATCAGAAACTTCTAGTCTCCCCACATGTTTTACATATATTGTTGCCACTGCCTTCTACTTTCTTTAGCCATCATCCCACTTATTCAGTCCTACTTTTTCTCTGATGCACAAACCATAATTTTAGCAATACACTCTCATGTTTTTGTAATGTTTTTCTACAATTATTTTTCCTTAAGACTGGTTTACACATAATGGGGTGGGTGTAAATATCTAGAGCCTTGGCATGAGGTCATATATCATACAAAGCCAAAATCAATGGGCAAATGCAGCCATGGCCTTCCAAGTTCCTCCTAGTTCCTTTTTTCACTCATTTCATGGCCTACATCCTGTAGAATAGCCTTCTAGTAGGACTATTGCTATTGCCTTCTGCTAGGGCTATTCACTCCAGCATTGTGCTGAAGAACTGGAAAAGGGAAAGATTAATAAGGGGGCAAAAAGAAAACCACCAAGACCAAATGGTGAGCATTACCTTAATACGCCTCTGGATGGAACTGATATCGGGACGTTCATTGCTGCTACTATCCAAATGCCTGTTGACATTTAAAACAGTAAAGAGGTACATAAGGATGCTTTAAAAACTAACATGGACAAAGCAAAGACTTATTTAGGAAGATGACTGGGGCTCACACATAGCACCATTTTCAGATTTTATGTTAAATCCAGAAGTCACTGAAATGATTCAGCCACTGTAAAATGGTGAGGCTATAATGGCATACTGAAAAGATGTAATATATGGCTTATGCTGTGTGGATGAAAAAAATTTCTTACTTGTATAGCTCAGCCAAAAAGATGTCTAGACTCTGAAGTTCTTCGAAAAGGCCTAAGTGAGGGAGAAAGTAAAGGTCATTTCCAACTGAAAGTCAATGAAGCAAACAGGCCTGTCTATCAGGCAGTATTATTTTCACCAAAAGAACTAGAAATGTCAGAAGGCACAGATTCTTGCTTGCTTTATAATAATAATATGAAATCCTACTTGGAAAACCTCCTACAATTGTCAAAACACATGTCTCCTTTTTTAAAAAAAAAGGTACAGTGAGTATACATGGCAATTTTTATTCTTTATTTCTAGTCTGTGAATGGTGGGAACATTTACAGACTAAAAAAAACAACCTGCTTGCAATCAGTCTTTTTAATGTTTCTGCAATGTCTACCAAATAAAGATTTCTAAAATATTTGGGGACCTCTCAGAATTATAGCTCCTATTTTTGGATCTCTCATTGTTCTATTATGTTCATGTTTTATCCTTCCAATGTAAAAAAAAGTGTATTTATAGTGCATACTTCTTATTTAAATTGTTGCTGAAAGCAGCCTTGTACATTTTAATGGAAAAGCAGGGTATGTTTTGAATAAATAAAAACAAGAAACGTCACCAACATTAGTGACATTATTATCAAATAAATAAATAAATTCTTCCAAATCTCAGTCCAAAATATATTAGGAAATTAGTTTCCACAAGGCATCAATATCACATTTCAGAATGATCTGGAGAAGTTTCTCTTTCCTAATGTATGGATCCACCCAAATAAGTAGAATGCAAATAATCAATTGGGAACAAGGCAAATACTTTTCCATTTTTTCTATACCCAATTAAATCTGAAATTAGAATGTTAAACACTCACAGCTTTTGTCTGTCCAGACATGAAGTTCCTGTGCCAGTTCTGGAATCACTAAAAAAGTTCTCCAACCTTGGCGTTTTTTGGACTTCAAAATGTCTCCAAATATATGGTCACCTATATATAAGATGTCTTTGCCTTTGGCTCCCAGGAGATCACATACTGTGTCAGAGGAGCCTGAGGAGAAAAGAGGACAGTCTTAGGAACAATAATGATTTTTGCCCTTCACAAAAATCTAAGATGTCCTTGCTTTTCATGCACTGTTCCCTAAAACAGTTGTGACTGGAAAAAGTCAAGCACATTTATATGTAATTCTCGCCTGCTCTGCTTTGTTGATCGGAACATTTTCATTTGCAGGCCCAGTGCTTCCAAGTGGCAAGTTCAAGGTGACTGGGCCTTCTTCCCTCCCTCTCTCTCCCCCCACCCTCACACACACACAACACATACACACAAAATACAGAAAAGCACCCAATGCACAGACTGGATGCAATGCATGATACATTTATTTTATTCTGGAGTATGCAAAAATACAAACAAATCTGATTAGGAATCGCTGCCCTTCTGATGCATTCCTTAACAGCAGACATCAAAAGGGATACGTAAGGGTGAGGGAGATACAAGCTGCTGCCTCTTCTTGTCCACTTACAGCCACATATTAGGGATGCTGTCAGCTATATTTCAGCTATATCTGAAAAGCCATGGTTTGTCCCTGCCATAAAGACAACATACAATGAATTGGGAAATAACTGTACCCAGCAGCTTATGCTGACTAAACCTCTGCTTTCATCAACAGAGAATGCCCTTGCTCTATAAAAGATATGACCCAGTTTCAACCTCTTAACTGAAGCTGACTAAAAGCAAAATCCCTCTATTGTGCTTAATAAAAAAAAAAACAGCTTCATCTCTGTTTTACCTCCAGAGTAGACAATACCATGCTGCAAAGGACCTGTGTAGGTTCCAATTTTCAACTTGCCAGTAACCTATAAAGAAGAAGAAAGTTGTTTTCATGAGCAACATCTATTTTCCACTTGGAGAAGTGAGGGAAGGATAAATTAACACTCAATGGAAAATGTACTTGTTACATCGATCACATAGATGGTGCTCTTTTCTTCTACAACTACTATGCCTTGACTGCAAAAACACAAGCACCCACTAGATCAGGGGTCTCCAACCTTGGCAACTTTAAGCCTGGAGGACTTCAACTCCCAGATTTCCCCAGCCAGGCTGGGAAATTCTGGGAGTTGAAGTCCTCCAGGCTTAAAGTTGCCAAGGTTGGAGACCCCAGCACTAGATGACTTCAGTGTTAAGGGTTTAAGATACAGTATCTCTTTACTGCCATCTACTGGAGTTCTTGCCAAGTTGAGGTGTAAATTAGCATATTTTGCTTAGTGCAAATGATAACAGGCACTATGACATAATGGCTCAAAGCAGAAAATGGGAAGATCGTCACAAGGAACAGTGCTAAATTGCAACTGTGACATTTACCTACGTATGATCAGCACTCTCAGAGTATCTCCAACTCTTGCCTGAACCTTAGTTAAAAACAATTAAACCACCTCTGCAACAGCAAGGTTTCTGTAACTTACAAATGACTCCAGGAAAACACTAGCGAGAATAGCACAAGCCTATACTTCCAAATGGTATAGTACAAATGGTGATCACAACCAATACTTCCTGCAACAAATTACCTCCAGCAGAGATTTGGCTTTGATATATTATACTGTGACAATGAGGCCTTTGCAGTTGCAGTGGAACTGATTTTAGCAAAATGAGGATCCCTAAGCTGTATGTAATAGCAGAAAGACAGCACAGACTACAAGAAGACTTAAAAGATCTATTTTAAAAGAATACTGTGTTTTCTTAATCAAACCATCTGACCCCAAATTTGCTATTAAATATAGTTGTGAGGTTATTATTATTTTTACATGTTTTTGGTGCCTGGACTAATCCCTGCGTTTTTCTGGCAAGATTTCAGTAGTGACTTGCCAATGTCTGTTTCCATGGGCTGAGAGAACGTGACTGGCCCTAGGTCACCCAACTGGTTTCATGCTGAGATAGGACTAGAACTCATGGTCTTCTGGTTTTTAGCCTGAAGCCTTAATCACTATTACCCCAAAACTGGATATCATAAATACAGTTAAGGGCAAGCGTTCAATTATTTTCAAACACTATGAGGTCCACATCCATATTCTACTTAGCAAAATAGGAATATTGTCTCCTCTTCCAGATGAATCTTAACCATGTATTCCGTGTAGACTTACTGTATCCACCTGCCTCAAGACTGTGCCTTCTCCAAAAAAAAGAGGCTTGCGTGCATCCACAAGGATGAGATCGAAATAAGACTGCCATGGTCGATGAGAGCTACCTGGCTACATTGAAAAAAAAAAATCAAATAGAAGCGTATCTTACTTAAAGTTCAAATAAACAAACAGCAATAATTTATACATAGTAGGTATTGGCTAACACTAGTTCTGCAGCCAATACCACTAACTGTATTCCGTACCACATCTAATTTGATACTGCAACTACCGGTACTACAACTGGTTAATTACAGTGCTTGACAACATACTAAGAAAAGATCATCTAGAGAATTCATGTTTCCCAGTGATTAGTTCATTCAGATACATGATAATATCAGAAATATAAATCCTAAGTAGAAGTGTTCTTTTGCCTAAGGCTCTGATCTCTTATATATTCAACATATAATTGGCACTATTAATTGTGTATCTATTAATCCAGGATATGCCATTACTCCTTTTATCTAAGCTGTTTCTTCAAATGCATTCTAGAAATGCAAATAAGTAAACAACTAACATTAAGAGGAATCAGTGCTGCTGATTAAAACACGAAATAGTTCAGAAGCAATTACTATTATTTAACTTCAAAAAGCTACCTTATCTGGCATATGAAGATGCATCAGACTTATTTCCGCCTGACCTATAACAACAAATCTAGGGTAACTGACACAAAACTTTTTTAATCTGAATTTTACAAATACATAAATAGCTCCATATATTTTCAGTGCCCAGGACCAAAACTGAATTCTATTCCTGAATTATTCAAGAATAGATAATGAATACTGTTCAACAATAGAATAACGCATCTCTTTGCACCTACCTTTGGTCCATGTGGAAAATCAAACAGATATGTCATAATTTTCTGAAAGATAGATAAGAAACAAAATGTAATACATAGTTTAAGTACCAAAATTAGAGGGCATATTTCCCATTTACTAATTTTTGAGTTAAATCAGTTCAGTTTCAGCAAAAAAATTCAATCAGCTTTAAATATATAAGTTATCTTCTTATATAATAAGAAGAGATTTTAAAAACTGGACACTAGAGGGAACTAGAGGAAACTAAAGATTACAATTAAATAAGAATAACACTCAAAATTCATTTTATAATTACACAATGAAGGAAATTATTATAATATTGGACAATTGAAGGATATTGTTGAATAATGGACTCAGAAGTTAATTGCAATAAATGATCTTCTCATATTCCATCTATTTATAAAAAATAAAAAATGTCATTTCAATCCTAATATCAAAAAAGTCCATTAAATTCCAGATATAATAACATCAATTTTAACCAAATAATTCAAACATTCCTTCCTTTTACTTTTAACAATCTTGCTCTTGAGTCCCTTCAAATAACTTCCTCTTAATGTTATTCCTAAAACTTCCTATTTTTTCTTTGTCTCTTTTCATTAAATTCTTTAAAACTTTAAAACATCTGTTTTGTAAATCCAATATAGGAAAATTATCCAGTTACACTTTTGGTTTGCTATTTGTATATCCCTTTTAATTATTGAGACATCAGTTGGTTTCTTTTGTATATCCAGTGTAAAACTGGTATAGTCTATAGTCTATAGACAGACTGTCTAAAAGATGTTATAACAATATTTTACACTGGATATACATTTCAAGGGAAGGTGATAAGTTACTAACATTATTTATTGATGTTGTGAATATATTTATATTTTTCCTTAAATATATTCTCATTTTCCTTTATTTTCTAATTGGTTTTTCTTGAATACACTAGGTTTTAACCTCATTCTCACAGTTCAAAGAAATAACTTCTTGAATCCCATACTACAATTATTTCTAAACAATTTTGTCACAAAACATTCTGAACCTAAATAAATATATTTTATTTAAACATTCAGAAGCAATTATGAAAAATGAAAGCGACCAAATTCCTAATAAAATGTAACTTATACTTTCTAGTTCCTGAATATATTTCACTTCTTCCTATTTCCTTCAGTGACTCACAATGCACATGGGTTCACACTAGAAATGCTTACCCATCCTTCTACTTTGTTATACAGAGATATCCAAAGTAGGTCAACTCCTTCAATTTGCTCAAAAGATAGAAATCTTCAGACACTGCTACAATAATGTTTCTTACTTTGGACACTCTTCTGCAATTCTTTATTACAATTAATCTTAAGACAGAAAATAAACAGAGCCAAAGAATGAACAGTAAGATAGAAATGAAAGTCGCAGTCTCTTGCATGATGTAAACCTGAATGAAAACCTTGGGAAAACCACACAAACTAGTGTGACTGTTTAGTTGACTTTTAATGAGAATACCACTGGTCTTTATGAAGATACTCCACGTTTTTACAAAGAAGTTGATTGAGATACTGAGTACTGTGCAGGATGTCTAAAACAATTTGTACAGGCTTGGCTCAACTTTTTTATCATATAATCACTTCTTGCTATTAAAATGCTAGTGCTTTGGAAGGCAATGTGGCACAGCAGTGTCATTATCAAATAGTTAGCTTCTTTGTCACATATGCTTGTAAAATATAAAAGCAATCAATGATGCCGTGGTTGAACTGCAATAATGTGGATGTTCTTGTCCACTCCTTGCAAAATGTGTCTTTGAAGTTTTTAGAAAGTATCCTGAAAGTTTTGAGCCTGAAAAGCACCTGCAATTGGTTCTTAGGTTGTAAGAATGACTAAAGAATGTCTCGAGAGGATTCAATCAGCTCTGGAAAAGAGCTTGAAGAGACTTTATGAAGCTTCCGTTTTACTTTTTCTTCCCAAAAAACTTTTGCCTTTCTCTGTACCCTTCAAATGGATTCTACAAACACTAGAATCTGGGTACTATATGGAATGACTTCAGTCAGTTTTTAGGTGCAGTAGATCTTGCTGTATTTTTCCTGTGACAACAATCTTTAGTTCTGTTTCTAGTTCACTGCGCTTTGTGACTGCCTGAATAAGAGGGTTGGAGCCTTGAGATGAAAGTGAATGGATTGCTGCTCCTTTTAAAGTTCTCATACTCAAGAAATATAAAGAGGATGGGGTTTAGCAATGGTATACTTTCTGTTGAGCTTCCCAGATTTATTTAATATTTATTAGATTTTTATTTCACCTTTATTACTTTATAAGTAACTCAAGGTGACAAAGATACTTAATACTTCCTCCTCCTCCTAGTTTCCCCATGTCCACAGCCCCTGTTAGGTGTATTGGGCTGAGAGAGAACGACTGGCCAAAGTCACCCAGCTGGCTTTCATTATTTAAAGCAGGACTAGAACTCGCAATCTCCTGGTTTCTAGACCAACATTCTTAATCACTATACCAAACTAACCAGCTAAAGCAAATGGGACAATGGCATGAATACCCTTCAGGTAGAATTTCTGCTATCTGGTCAAATATGGAAAATATCGCCTACATGGCCATAGGGCATAAAAATAGCAGTTCCCTACGCTGGGAAACCAAAGCAAAGAAATGGAAGCACAGAAAAGGAAAAGGTACAAAAAGCACAGCAGTGTATTTTCTCTTCTTCTGAACAAGAGGAGGAAGTTAAACCACTATGGATGACCTCCATATACACAGAAAGCAATTTTACCTGTAATCAGAGGAGCAGTTATTTATCTGTCTGCAAAGAGAACACCAGAACCGAAAAATTCCAAATATCTTTTGATATTGCAAGCTAATATTTATTTAATGTAAAATTCAGATAAAATTGGTCTCTAACTTGTGTTCTTTGAATTGATGTATAAACATTCAGTCCCAATGGATGAGATTGGATACTGCATTCAGACTTAAAAGATGTTTTGGGCAAAGCTGAAATACAATTCCCAGAAGAAAACTGACCATTATAGTCTTGCCATGCTAAAACTAAAAGTTAGTGAATTTAATTGAAAAGAATCCTTGTATTTCGTACTAAATATATTAGAGAAATGCTTAGAAAATATTTATATCCACTTCTAATCCCTGCAAACTAAGTTTTAGACCAGTAATCAAACCTGACCTGGAGAAGAATCCAGGATTTCAAATTCATAATTTGGATTTGATTTTTTTTTTTTTTTGCATTTAAAGCCGCCTTTACTATCAAATGAAAAATACTGAAAGACTTCATAAAATTTTACTTACATCAGTATATTTATAATCACTGTTTGTGGCAAGAAACACCTTTCCCACCTCAGTCATGCGACTCAACAGCAGTGGAAGCTTTCCCTAAAATGACAAACATTGACATAAAACTAATTCTCAAACATTTAAGTTAAATTTTATTTTGGGGTACTTCAAATGACCTAGCTGAAATAGCATCATGCACCCTGATGTTCTGAATAATGTCAAATACATATTTCAGTCTGCTTAAAATATCTTCTAAAATGATACACATCTTAACTATGTGGTACTGAATCTCATGCCAAGTTCTGTGCATATAATATAGTTGGTTCAACATGATAGCATAAAGGGCAGTTTTGTAAGTACATCCTTACTATGCGTTAAGTTCCAGACAAGAGGATAGTTACAGTTAAAGTTGGATTTTGTAGAATGGAGCAATTTCTCATAAATCATTTAATAATGTGTGAAAAAGTGACATTTTAAAACATTATAGAAACAGCTGCCAAATAGATTTTACAGAAACAGTTACAGTATTTATTTTTGACAGTCATGAACAGGGATGCACTGAATACCTCCCCCTTTGGATGAAAAGAAGCTTGGAAGAATGGACACAGCTTTGTGGAACTATCAAGTTCAGAGAGTGGAGGATGTCACATTCAGGAATCCTACACCCCCTTTAAATGCTGCAATTCAGATGCCAGATCCTAAGTCCCAAATGGTACTGCCACCACTGAATTCAAGACCTAAGGCTGCACTGATATCTTGGAAAGATTTCTGTGTCTTCTTTGTGATGCTGTCTCTCTTGCTACTGTCCTTACATTTTTGGTAGCAGAAGAGGACAAAGTTTCTTTAACAATATGATTCATTGAAGTTCCATTTCTTCTTCTTTTTCCCCTTAGTAAATGTCTGGGCAGGGCTAACCTTGGAGCCAGTGCATTGGTATGGATGCTACTGGACTATGACCATCTCTTGTATTTGTTTTATTTGAAAATTAGACCTTTCAAATTGTCACTTCACCCATATTTTTTTCTGGTGCTATTCCCTGCAGGTCACTTTCTCTACCCTTGTCTGTAAGAAAGGCAAACTTCTAACTATATTTTACATATCTTAATATACAAGTTTGTATTTCATTCTCAATTGCAGGTTCAAAATGGTGTCTCACTCTTGAGACAATAATATAAACATCAAATTTGTTTAGAAGTGCTTATTATCGTGTATACATATCAGATCTGTATAACAAGATTGGTGAATGGAAGATTCACAACTTTTGTTTTCTCTGTTTTCTCCACCGACACCAATTTAGCAATCCAAACAGAGCAGTGGCCTTTTGATACTGTTCTCTCTTTTCCATTGTAAATAGTTAACTTGTTCCATTTGGACTCCATTGAGATGGACAGAAGTCTGGCTTATCAGTTGTCAAAACCTTTCTTTTGTAAGCATTACTTTTCAGGCCACATCAATTGGTAGTTTTTGTGAAGTTATACAAAATGTCTATGGCCTCTGCAATTATGGCAATGTCATTATAGAGGTAATCCTCAATTTACGACCATCGCTTAGTGACCATAAGAAATTACAATAGGCCTACCAGGAGGGGCCGTGATTTATAATCTAGATTTGAAGTTCCAACAGTCGCTCCTCCCATGGACTCATGATCAAATTTCAAATGCTTGGCAACCTAGTTGCATTTACAGCTGTTTGCAAGGCTCTGCAGTCACATGACTGGGTTTTATGGTGCCCCCCCCCCCCAAAAGCAGCATTTACTTCCAACTTTTGGCAATGCTACACCCATACTGAAACATTGGTTCACTTAACAATTGTAGCATTCATTTAACAATCACGTCAGCCATTTTACAACCACCGTATTCACTTAATGACTGCCACAAAAAGGTGCCCGACCCATTTTTATGACAGTGATAGGCAGGTGCCATATAGTCATAAGTTAGGACTATATCAAGCATTTTTTTAAAGTACTACTTCAAATTGGAATTCTGAAAGATCCATTTTGGATGTGTATACAGCCAGTGCATTTACTATAAATTTCTTACAGTAAGCATATCCCTTTGGGGGACTGTATGTTCGATTTTCAATGCTATCCACAAAGTTGATTAGTACACACTGTTGAAGGAAATCAATGAATACAATGGGCATTTATATGCCAGAGCAATTTTTCCTCTTCTAACAGTTGTCTGATGGTGAAATTTGATCCCAGCACCATTGTACTGTTCCCTAGTTGTTCATGCTATTTCTAGAAATGTGGTTGGATGACTGCAAAAGGGGATTATTATGATCAATTTTCATTTAACGGGAGCTTCCCTGAATTACGTGAATGCATTCACTGTGTCCCATTATCTCCACCCCGTTTCGAATGCCTCAACTGAGACTCCATCCATTCTAGCAGCGTAACCATTTTCACTACCTTCATTGCCACTCTTACTCTCTCAGATTTAGGCTCAACACCCAAGGCCCAAGATCCCAACCTTTCAATGAGTGATAGATTTCTGGGTTTTCCATCTTTACAGTCACTTATTTCAAGATTTTATAAACATCCCATCAGCCTTGAGTTTGTTGATTTAGTTTTTTTTTCACTTAGTTATCAGAGAATGGCAAAGAGGGTATGGTGTTTGTGTTTCTGTGCAGCTTCTTCCAGTTCCAGAACAATGGTGTTCCAGCCTCTTGCTCTGCCTTTTAGCTGATGGCAAACTTCAGATCTGAGCTGCCCTTATCATGTATTGTCTGCCAGCTTGATCTATGTTGGTCTACTGATTCTAGGCATCCATCCAAGTTCCATACTTGTGTTTGGTCTCAAATAGTCAGGCACATGCTTTTGGCATGCGTGTAGATAGTTTCAGAGACTTGTTTTTCTTCCACCTCCATATCATCAGACAATGTCAGAGTAGAAAACCAGTTTGCTAATGTTTAAAATTCTTTTTAATCCCAGTTCAGCCAGTTTGGACCAGTACTGCTTTGCTGATGAATCACCTGTCATTTTACATGTTGGAGCTTAATTTGAATTTTTGCCCAGAGTAAGTAATGGTGAGAGCCACATTCATTACCTTGTACCACATATCCAATTTGAAAGGTAAGTAATGAATGCTTCCAGTTTGATATTAATGCCACTTAATAAGAAAGAAGGGAAATACTACATTATCTCCATCAATAAGGACAATATTTATTAGAGCAATTATATCATTGGCAGCTTCTAGATAAAATTACTCTCGTTTGGTGGACTTCCTGTTTTCCATCCACTATTTTAAGTGACTGGGTATTAAGATCAATTAAGAATTAGCAAAATAAATCACCATCTAACTTCTTTCTTAAAGCAAGTTTTTGAATACTTACATCTTTCACCACATACTTGTATAGATTCTCAACTGTCTTCTCCTTAAGTGAGCCCTGAAACAACAGAAAAAAACTTACATGGCAGCAGAAGCAATGATCTAATAGGTATCTTACTTGTGTTTCATTTTAATATAATCTTCCATACTGTCATCATGTAGAAAGATGTGTGACACTAAAGACAGAAAGTTCTTTGCAGAGTTTCAGATGTCAAGAGATTAGTCTTGATTATTTCATTGTAGAACTGGACAACTCTAAGGGTCATTTATGACATAAGGATGAAATATGAGTCAAAGTGCCATTCAGATGATGGAACATAATCATTTCTGTTCTAAAACTGACGACATATGATAATTTAAAGCTACAGGGTGGGGCTATCCTCAACTTTGTCTGGATGACAGGCCACCATGGCCTGTCTTTATATTCAGTTTTCTCTCTTTATATAAACAGCAGAATAGGATAGAGAGAAACTGAATATAAAGAGTGTAAGAAGATTGGCAGCTGTTTCTGTGATGCGTTACAGCTACTAATCTCTAGACGCAAGGAAGAAACAGAAGGACTAAATTAACGGGAGAATGAAGGAAAAGTAAAAAGTAATTCATTTTGTATCATATGTTGTCCAATTATCTTGCTGGGATACTAATGGTATTTAGCATATATTCATCAGCGAAGAAAAAAATTAAAATTATTGAAATGATACGATTCAAAACTTAGAAACAGTGTTTGAATTAGAGAGATCATCTAAACGTCCCCAAAATGCAGGTTACCTTATAATGAACCCAGTCCACAGCATCTCTCACATCCTGGAACATGCTTCTGAAGGACATGAAAAGGTCTCCCTCTTTAAATCCTGTTTCACAGCTGAGAGACAAATGAAATAAAATAGCCATGTAGAAAATTTCATGAGGCTTGAGAAACGTTATGTAATTAAAAATGACATCGGTGTCCTTAGGTATAAACTGAAAGCAGTTTCCCATCCCTTCCCCCTAGGTTTTTATTTACATATTTTGCATATTTCATGAATAGGCATTATGCATTATCCATCTTTTCAATTACTCTCTTCATTGATTCAAAGGGAATCATTTTTTTCCAGTGAGCGAGGAAACCCTGTTATCTTACTGACAGTTAAATCACAATATTTTGTTTAAAAAAGGGAATAATCCTTTATAAATATTTTCTGCATTCTGAAATCACCATGTCACTATGTTGTGTTTTTATACAGTTGCATTGGAAAATCTGGCTACAATATGGCCTTGTTGATTTCATATAGCCAAGAAAATACTCACCTTGAATATCTGTCACAATTAGTAAAGAAATCAATCAGACAAGCCAACAGATATGTCTCTGCAAAAAAGCAAAACCAAGGCAAGACCAGATCTTAAAAAGAATGATTCGTCAAATAGACATACCTGTAATTAATCTAAACCAAGAAGATATAAAAGTGTTCCTTTAAAATTAATAGCAATGTACCTACTGATCTGGACTACGTAATTCCCCCTCTCAATTCTCACCTGGTAAGTTGAACAGTGTGTTTAAAATGTAAAACCTGTCAGTATCATCTCTCTGAATGAATTTATTAGGATACTGTTCTCGTATTTCTGGCCTGAGGAATATAAAGGACAAAAGAATATGGTAGTTAATGTTCAAAGTAATTCCTCTACTGCATACTGTAAGGTTCAATCAAGAGTCAACAAGCCTATGAGAAAGACAATTTATCTCTTAAAATTTCCAAGAAAACACTGCGCCCTGAGTAGATTATATGATTTTTTTGAAGGTGACACCTAATCTTTTATCCATGTAGTGCTTTTGCATACAAAGTACAAATTTTTGAAACCATACTTATTGACTAAAAGATCACAAAAATATTATATTGGTTTACCAATCTATTGACAGGAAAAAAAACAGGAATAAGATAATGTTAAAAATAATTTCTGACAGACACTAACAAACCTCAAAGTCATTACGAGACGCTATACCGTGTGCAACAGAATATATCCCAGCTGTGCATAAGATCACCAATATTTGCATCACTTACCCTCTCATAAAGTTAAAGCCATGTGCACACACTAGGATGTTCCCATAGGCATCAACTTTTAACAGGTTTCCATAAAGAGAATCAAATACCAGGCCTCTATTAAAAAAAGAAAGAAATGCAAGGATGCATGTCAGCAACTCATAATAAGCAATGATGAACAGCAAGACTTTGAAAGATAGTCTGTTGGAATGGCATACCTGAGCCAGTTCTATCACGTTCTGTCCAAATTAGAATCTGACCCTAAGGAGGACACTGATGATAGAGTCCCATTGAACTTTTGTTTAGCTGCAGAGGAAAAAATAGTCTGCATTGCCTGGTTTAAATGTACAGTTAATCTATTTGTTTATAATTAATTAATTCATTTATCTTAACAGCAAGGTATTTTGCCAGAACAATTTTGGCAGCATTTACTTCTCAGAATTTCACTACAGTTTGCTAGACTTAACCCAAAATCGCGGTTAACATTTTTATTAGTTTGAACAAGCCAGCTTGAGAAATAGTTCTTAGAAGTTTGGTTTATTTGAAGCTAACCATACATACTATTAAACAAAAGTTGCCACACCCTATGCTAATGTCTGGCCATCCAGAAGAATAAGAGGGACCATGTGAGCCAACGTTCACTGAAGTTTTTCTACAACTTCCTAAAGCATACTCAGATATTATGTGCATATACAATCAGTATGGATACAGTACACATTTAAGTGTTATATAAACACTAAAATCTCAATGAAATATTAGAGGCTACCAGCTTACCAGGAGGCTTTGATTAGAACAAGTTATAAAGTCAAAGTACCCTTTTTATGTTTCAGTGCAACAATGTCCTAGTTACATGGAAACACAATATATTGAATTTAGACAATAAATGAGGTACACAGTTGAGGGATGTATAATGCTTTCTTGGCTTGATAATTATCTGTCCCCTCTTCCCATTTATCCCTCTATTAAATTCTCCTATCAAAGTAGCCTCAATTGGATGAACAATGCTTGAAAAAGAGGCTGGATATCTGAGAAAAAGTAAACTGCTATATTGGGTGTGGCTATAAATTAAGACTTCAGATAGTCTATTCTATTTTCTCTGGCTTCATTGCCAATCCATTTTATGTGTTATGTGGGCCTCTTTTCTTCCCATTAATGTGTCATGGTTTTTCCTTACCCATGATGTGACATTATCCTATAGTGCATTTCTCAGACCCCGCTCTACATCAAGTTGCTGTAGAAAGATAGGCATAGAATGTTCAAGGTATAAAGAGTTTAATTTTTATGTTAAGTCAACAATACTGAGAGAAAGATGAGATTGTGATTTAAGAAAGTAGAGTGGAACATATTTTCTGCAATGTATAATATGTCCCCAGGTCTGAGAGAACAAGGAGTTAATAACCAGACCTAATAATAATTTATTAAAATTGTACACTGCCTTTCAACACCTCTGAGCAGTTCACAACAATCAAACTAAGAAATTATAATGAACTGCAATAGCTAAAACGTTCATTCTGTAATCAGTGAATTGGATTTAAAAACTAAATGCATACTGCTGATTTGAACCATGACTGTTTAGTGTCTGATGCCAACAGCAGAACTACATGGCTTGACCAAATGCAAGTGGACTTCACATCGAGATAGTGTAGAATGGTGAAATTCAGGGATCCCCAACCCTCGGCCATAGACCGTACCAGAACTGGGCTGGGCAGGCAAATGAAAACCCATCCACGCATGTGTGGAATCCAGGCAGTGCACAAAACCACACCCCTGGTCGACGGAAGAAACATCCTTCCAGAAACCAGTCCCTGGAGCCCAAAAGGTTGGGGCCGCTGATGGGATTCACAATGAGTCTAGATTGTAATCTTTGCCCACATTATACTGTGAAACTTTGAAAGCTTCTTAGAAAAATGTAAAGTATTCACTGGGGAAAAACAATCTGGACAAATAGATTTGTCTTTCTTTTCTTCATTTTCTCATGATTAAGGCTTGATTCCCATGTTTATTCTTGTATACTATGTGCTATAAAAAAATTTATACCATATTTTTATCAGGGAGTATTTCCCCATTAAACAGCACCTCAAAAGTTTTACATAAATCATCATTAAAAATAAAGAAGTGAGCCTAATAAAAAGCATCAAAATGTGAAGCTTTTTTAAAATATACATTTTATAAAAAGGCTTATATTCTTATTCACTACCTACTTTTAGTAAATGAACTATACATTCTAACAATGTTGCCAGAAAGATTCAGGGAAAGGTTCACAGAATTATATAATATAAAGGATTGCAAAGGATCTTTGGAAATCCTCTAATCCTACTCCTGACCAATGCCAGAAACCACGACTGAACTATAGTATCCTTGTCAGATGGCCAACTATGATGCTTTCAGTCCCACTAAGTTCTTCCCAAAGTCCAGAGCAACTTCAGAAGTCTCCAACATAGCACAAAGAATTATCTGAGATAAATGTGCAAAATATGGCAGTCCTGATACACTTAAGAAAGCACCTTAGGAAAGACACAGATCGTTAAAAATTCTTGAATATCCATGAATATTATCCCCAAATGATTTTGTGAGTAGTAGTCATTTAATTGTCATAAATTAAACTTATAAACTTTACATTTATAAAATGGCAAAACATTAGTCTAGAGGAGTATTTATGCCTATCTGCTCTGCAGTTCTCTTCTATTTATTTGTATTTTAAGACACATTATCTAATAATACATAAACTTAAAGTTGCAAGATATATATGCAGTTTACCGTATATGAATTATAACACCTTAAGCTTAAAAGTATCACTTAAACTGTACAGAACAAACACAACTTTAAATTACAATTATTTACCTGGTAGGGAATGTAGGATCATAGACAAAACTAAGCAGCTCTTGAGGATATCCAATTGAAACTAACCGTTCGACGGTCAAGTCAAATCCAAGGGATTCATATTCTGGTGATTTATACACTGTGATAAAATGAGAAGATTCCAGTTAGAAAATACAAAAGAGAAAGCAAGAGAGATGTCACATCTAAGCAAATCAGAAAATTTTCATTAATTTTACCAGTCTTTACAGACAGTTCAGCAGACATAAAGCAATGACTGAGGTGTTTGTTATACTTCTGTAATTCTATTGATTGTAAAGTGTCTGTTTGCCCTTCAAGGTTGGTGCATAATCTGGGGTCTTGTCATCTATCAGAACTTCTTTCTCTGTAGCATTGCCGGCCTTCTGGAATGAGGTTCCCCTGAGATCCAGATGGTCCCCTCTTTGCTGTTGTTCAGAAGACCTATGAAGACCCAGGTCTTTGGCAAGGAAGAGTGAGACCCTTTGTTTATTTCATCTGGACATCTGTACTTGCCATATTTTACCTTTAATGATTTTATTGTAATATGTTTGTTGTGAGCCACCAATAATTGTTGAATTAAGTGGCACACAAGTTTAATAAACTATTATGGTTTATTATATCATCCAAATGTTTAGACTGGATTTGGCATTTTTATTCACCCACTGAATCCTTCCCAAGGACCTAGGGTAGCCAGATGTTGATGTCTGATGGTGTTAGAGGTATCAACACAGAATGCAAGCTGTTCTGAATAAAGTTCTCTTTTTTGATTGACAGATGGTGAATTTGTCAATGCTGATCGTGTTCAAGTGGTGCTCTAGTTGTTTTGGGATTGCATTCAATGCGCCTTTGCTTTCTTTTCCATAGTCATTCTATTTCTATTTGCATGGTCTTTGTATTTTGTTCCAGTTCTTTGTCTTCTATTCAGCTGTCTCCAGGGATTGCCATGTCTACTATCCAGAGTTTTTTTGACTTTGTCAAAATTATTAAGTTTGGTGTGTTATGTTGTAGGTTTGAATTCTAAAGTCCCACAGCTATTTAGTTTCTTCATTTTCCATGACTTTCTCAATTTTATAGTCCCACCAGTTCTTGCAAATAGGTTAATTATATTTCTTACAGATCTTTCAATACGCCATTGTTGATACTTTGTTGTGCCACTGTTTGCAGTCAGTCTGTGAGATCTTCTTGCAGCAACTAACTAAGTGGCCCACTGTTTCTTCAGCTTCTTTGCAGAGGCAGCATTTGCTGTTTGTTGCTGCCTGCTCAATTATAGTTCTGTATCCATTTGATTTTAAGGCTTCCAGATTTGTCTTTCTTCAATTTTCCTGCTCTTAAGACATGGCCAGAGTCTTGTTAATATCTGTTTTGCCTGTTATTTTTTGTAAGTATTGGCCATGTATTACTTTGCCTTGCCGTGTGTCATTTTATTCTTCATATTATTTATGATTGGTTAACAGTCAGATGTTTACTTTGGAATTGGCATTTTTATCCACTTTCCAAGTCCTTCCTAAGATAGATATTGTTTTTTGTTGGTGCTAAAGGAAAACAAAACTCTTGACTCCATTAAGTTCAATCAAAAGAACTTTTACTGAGAGAAAGTGGTTGCAGTAAAGTCAGGTGGAATCTGATAGCCCCACACAAAGCAATTCTTCAGTTCCCCAAACCCAACAACCCCACCAATCTACCAACAACTGTGATGCTGCAAAGTTGTTTTGAGAATGCAGAGGTGCTAGGCAGATAACAGTTCATTCTCAGGGCATAATGGCCTTGGAACCAGGCTGGAATGGCTGGGGCAGAGTCTGTTCTGTCTCCAAAGACAATCCCCCTCCCTAATTCCCAAGCAGTTACAGCAAAAGCAAAAGCATGTGGAAAATGCCAAAATGCAAGCTGTCCTCCCCCCCCCCCCCAAAAAAAGAATGGCAGGGCATGACAGAGAACCTGTCAGTCGCATGATTTAAGCTACTACAAGTAAAGCTGCCTTTTGCAATTGACTGATGGTGATTTTTGTCAATGGCAATGCTGTTTAATGGTGCTCCAAGTGTTTTGGTATTGTGCTCAAAGCACCTACTACTACTGAGACTATCTTTGCTTCCTTTTCCATAGTGGTTCGACTTCTATTTGTAATTTGTGACTTTCTCCAGTTATGTCTGTTCTATTCTGCTGTCTCCACCTATTGCCACACCCAGACGTTTTTAACTTTCTTATTGAAAATTGTTAACTCTGGGGTATTATATGTGGCAGGTACTTTTCTGTTTGAATTTGAAAGTCCCAGAGCCCTTTAGCTTCTTTTTCTATGATTATGTCTATTTCTAGTAGTAGTAGTACATAACATTATTTACGGTTCAGTATATGGTATTATGTCAAGTGGCCTTCTTATTTGATGTATAGAAGAGCACACATTATCCAAAGATTTTGATAACAGCAATTCTTACTGCAGAGATATGTAGACAGCAAGTACATATATACACAAATTGTCAATTCCAAGAAAAAAACAGTTCTTTCTAGCATCCCAAAATAACTTCAGCTGATAAATACATGTATTATGGAAAAACATGGTACATATTCCATCAGACCATGTTATAAACCTGATCAGAGTATGCACGTATAACTAAACTGTATAAAAACTTAATTGAATCTAGAGGTTTTTGGAGGAAAGTGAACAACTGGCTGTGGAAAACCATTCAGTAAAACAGAATAAATAAGTGATAATGTGTGAGAAATTCATAGTACATCCTTACTGACTGCTGCAAATGTCCAGCTATACTCCCCCAATCTCCATTCAACCATGAAAAGAACCCCAAAAGTAATAGACTAGAGATGATTTGTTAAGGGTCACAATCACAGTCCTATCAATTCCACAGTGGAAAGCCAATTAATCCCTAGCATTACATTTATTATATAGAAGCAATGTAGTATTTCTACTTTCCTAAATGAAGAAAGATGTAGAGTTTTGGAAACATTGGGAAACCCTTACTAACTATCCAGGTAATTTTTTAGAAGGTGCCCCAAACAATCAAAAGCCCTTTGATATTTATAGGACGTGTGCCATGTTGTCTAAGCAGCTAACTGTTTCACAGACTGAACATGTGTAATCAGAGCTATTTTTTCTGAAACATTCATGATATTTACAAGCAATCAGTTATAATATTTGTGACTGAGGAGTTGCAGTTTGCAACAGAAGGCAACAACTAGCCAACCTTGCTTGTTCTTGTAAAAGCCAACTGGGATTAACTAGGAAAATGAGAAAATATTCCAAAATATCCAAACTAGGAAAATGAGAAAATATCCCAAAAGGTGGCATTGGTCAACAATCTTTGTACCGTTGCAAAGAAAACTACATGAACTTATCCAAGTCACAAGGAGTTAATATTGCCTTGAAGACCTCTTGTACAAGTTAACTCTAAAAGGGGAAAGAAGGTTATAAAGCACAGGAAAAAATCTTGTATTTCAGCAGAAAAAAAAATTCTGATAATTTTTTTATAAACAAAGAAAATCAAGAAATATTGCAAATTCTGAATCATTGCATAATACAGATTAAATAAGAAAGGATCAATACAATGTTAAATAACATTGTAATTTGATTGTTGCCTTTACCAGAAACGGGGGAGAATTTGGATTTTATTCATTCTTGATTTAATTATTTGATTTTATAACTTTTATGGAAATATTGTAAACTGCCAACAATTTTGCTTGAGTGCAACAGTTTATATAATGATGATAGACATACTATATGGAAATATATAAAGGAAATTTAGATTCTAAATAAAGACGCAACCTTAAAAATTATAATGAAATTTTAATCCTGAATTTTCTTGCTATTAATTTATGCTTTTCAAACAATATTTCCAGAAAAAGTGGGATTTCTTGAAATTCCTCAAGATTCCCCAGTGAAAAGAGCTGTAGGTGTTTACTAATATCTATTACTATGCAACAGCCACTCTATGAATCTTTTTGTATAATTTGGTATCACCACATCATGACTATTGTGTTCTGGGCACAGCTCTAGAATCATGTGCAGGCCAATAATGTAAACAGCTCTAGATCTGTTTTGGTGAAGTTGATTAATCAGACAAATCAATCTTCAAATAAAATCCTGACATCACAAAATGAAGAGCAAAAAGTGATGTTTGACACAAACCTTCTGTTTCTCTACTTTGATAACTTGATATAGTTTTCAGGGTTCAAGTCTCTGTCCATGGAATTTCATCACTGTTTTTTTCTGTAAAGCACTTGTATGAAAGATATTTTGTGCTTCGGGGGGGGGGGGGGGGAATAGACTTAATAGAAAACTTATAGTAAAGGTTTTACTTGCACATTGAAACTCCCCCTTATTACAGACCAGCAAATTAGGTTTTTTAATCACACATATTACATCAAAACATGGAGGAAAACAAGTATTTGGGTTTTGTTCTCAAGAGGGCTAAAATAGCAAATCAAGAATAAATATAGCCCATAGCTTACAAAAGTCCTGTAGCCATATTGCTTATGGAACAAATGCTGAAAACTTGTTTCCTTCCATTTTGAGCGCGAAAATTCTCATCATCATCATTAGGTCCTTTTGCAGAGCACATTGGACAACAAGTATTTTCCATTAGTTTTGATCATTCACAGAGAAAATAAATGATGTTTTTAACATAGGCCCTAAATGGACTAGCATAAAGAACCAAAAAGAAAAATCCCGGAAATCCCAAAGTACATGAAAAAACCCAGTTTCCTTTGATTCACTGTCTCAACAAACGCAGATGCCTAACCCCACAATTGGCTACCAAAAAGTAAATGAAAATTAACTCCAATGCCATAATTAAAGTCTGCCATAAGAATAGCAAATCACAGGATTAAAAGTGAACAGCTGGTGATTGTAGCAGTTAGTACCAGCTGATTTTGACTTTTTCCACAAAATGGAGCCAAAAAGAAAGCACAGATGCAAGCTGAAATTCATATATCAAATCTGATGCAATGCATCAATTTATGAAGTGACCGTAGCCAAGCAGTCTCTTTCCAACCATTTTTTTTACAACCACATGTATTATTCCCATAGAAGGCTTTGTGGTTTGTACGACCTCAAATACTTTGCACATAACACACAAGAATGTACAACAACATAGCTCTCATTTAAAAGCCATC